GCCTCTCGAGCACGCTGTCGCGCGTGCATGCCGCGAAGCTGGCGCTATGGGTAGCCCGCAACGTCCGGTTGGCCGACATGGACGTGCTAGTTCGCGGACGGGGGGGCGCATCAAGGTGGGCGCCCGACAAAAAGAAGGGTCCTCAATGCGGACACCGCTCGGGTCCCGAGTCGCCACCCCAGCTTCAAACGGCCATGGATACAAAACAGGCCCCCACTATGCACTCCACCTTGGGACGCCGCATCGGCGAAGCAGCCCACCCAGGCCTTCCAAGCCATCAGGAGCACATGCCCAGCGCGAGCTGACCGAACCCGCGCACCGGAAAGGCATGGCCCTGCTCACTAAGCTGCGGCGCTCCAGACGGGGTGCCGCGCCGGGCCCCAGCGGCTACACGGCCGAAATTGTCAGGCTCATTCTGGATGACTCGGCCGCGGTCGACTCCTTCGGGGCGGTCGCCACCCGCCTCGCACGCGCACAGGTGCCTGCAACCATTGCGCAAGCCCTTGGTTTGGGGCGGCTCATTACCATTTGCAAACCTGCCGGAGGGCTTCGGGGCATTGTGGTCGGTGATTATCTGCGCCGGCTGGTTGCGAGGACTTTGGCTCAGCACTTCGCCCCTGCATTCGATGTTGCCACCCGGCCCCACCAGTATGCACTTGCTACCTGTGCAGGCCACCTTCCTTTGGCGAGACGATGCAGATGTGCAAGCGGAGGGCAGCGAGCAGCGTGATCCCCTGACGCTGTTTGCTTTGGGTATCGCCCCTGCATTTGGACTGGCCGCCTTGCAGGCTGAAATGCACACTGCCGAACGTGTGCGGGCTTTCCTGGACGATGTGTACGTGACCTCACCACCTCCTCGCGTCGCACATTTTTTGGGGCAGGCTGCAGCACAGGCGCATATTCAGCTCAACCCCTCCAAAGCCCGAGTGTGGAACGCACAGCCGCCCGTGCTCAGTCTCCTTTCCCTCCCCCTCGTGCACACTGCCAACGTTGATGGGGACCCCTTGGGCTTGAGGTGGCTTGAGTGTCTCTCCCCAGCCGCCTGCCTCCGTGCGGCTGAGTGGACTTCGTGGACTTTTCGGCCGCCGTAGTTTGTGCACTGGGACCGCGTACAGGATTTCTTCGGGAAAAGGTGCGTGTAAAAAAAAAGAAGTGCCGCTCACGATTCGGGAGCGGAGACGGTGTTCGACACCCTGAGCGCTCACACCGCGGTCGCGCCGCCCAGGCTGTCCTGCAGCCCTGCTTGAAGGCGTCTTTGTGGGAGAAGCGGCCCCGACGCAGCTTGACGAGGCTACACCCGGCTTCACGCCGCCAACCTCCCCCCGGCAAGCCGCCCCCAGCGGCTGGATCGACTTCGTGCCTTGATCCACGCAGGAGCCACACAGCACAATGAGCAGTGGGAGGTGCCCGGTTCGACGAACTCGCCACGTTCCTTCGGGAATCAGCGCCGCAACAGCCAGCGGTATTACTGATATTACTGTGCATGCTGCGCACATTTCTCGCATGCGAAGCACGTGACGACGCCTTCAGCGCAAACAACCCACGCGACCTCCCGATGGCCGCTGAACTCGAGGCACTTCCAGCAGCCCCGTTGCCACTGGCGGCCGCAGTCTCAAAGGCGGATGCTGCGATCCATGGTTGCTTGGGTTCGCATTCAGGACGAGAGCTGGCACAACACTATGAGTCGCATGAAGTCGCGGGTGGCAGCGGCTTTGCGCCAGCACCCGGTCGAGACAGGGACAAGAAGTTTAAGAAAAAACCAGCATTTCTTCGCTGTCCGAGTTGCACATACAAATGGTTGGGTGGCACGCGTGGTCACATGGAATACCGTGATGAACTGGCATGACGATTTTTTTTTTTTGCATCCAAGCGCCGACAAGGACGACCACTCACCCGATGGGCTTGATAAGCTAGGAAAAAAGCTGCGGTACGAACTTTCTGCAAATTACAGTTTCCTGACACGCAATGTTGGATGTATGTAGCCGNNAGCAGATGATTTCGTCAACGAGTTTTCCAAATGGTACAGTGACGAATCTGCTAGATGAAGTGTCCTTATTCCCCATGCCCTGATAGGACCGTAGTCTTCACTGGACTCGGACGGGCGGAAGCGAAAGCGAAAAAACAATGCTTTCCGTGTCGGCCTGGAGCACATCCGCAACGCACCGACGCCCGCACAAGCGAGCACGGGCTGGAAACTGTTCTTACATGTTCTTACTGGCGCCGCGCATGCTCCTCTACCGCACGCCCGGCATAGGCCGCGTGCCTGAACGTCTCGTGGCGCGCACGCTCGTGCAGCAGCTCCACCAATAGTTCAGGAGCGCCACTTGTGCGCCATTCCAGTACGCCGTCAGCACGAAGGTAGGCTCGGAAGCCCTGGTGAGGGCGATACGCGCGTCCGTGGAGCGGAGAGCGACCCGCAAACCACAGTCCTGAGCGTCGACGGTGTGGGCGCCTACGACCACATCTCTCCACAGAGCATGCTGTCAGCCTTGTCGGACCGACCTGCGCTGGCCGGCCTCCTCCCCTATGCACTGCATTCTTTTGCAGCACACCGAGCACATACGTGTGTTACGACGCAGAACGCCTGGCGCGCGAAGTGCAACAAGGCGAAGGAGGAGAGCAAGGCGACCCATTGATGCCGTCGTTGTTCGCCCTAGGCCAACACCAAGCACTAGTCGAGGCCAGAGCTCGACTTCACCCGTCGAACACTTTTTCCGCGTTCCTCGACTTTTTTTTCGTCACGGGACCCACTGAGTCACGGTCGGCCAGTTCGCCGTCGTGCGGGAAGCCCTCGCGCGACATGCCAACATCCAGGGGGGCACCTCGGCAAAACACTTGCGTGGAACAGCGCGGGGAGAGGAATTTCCGGGACTCCGAGATGAGCTCCCCCCCGCAGGACCCCGAGAACCCGTGCTGGACGGGGAACTGGGCCTTCCCAGCCGCCCAGCAAGGTGTGGTGGTCCTAGGATATCCTGAGCAGCCGCGATTTCATCGCCGCGAATCTCGCCCAACGACTGCAGAGCAGGACCGCCTGTTGCTGCGGATCCTGCGAGTGCCTGAATTGCAGTCCGCGTGGCTTCTTCTGCCTTCTTGCGCAGCACCCCGCAGCACGTACTTACTACGAACCCCGCCGCCGGCAGGCACCGCAGACTTCGCTGCCAAGCACGATGCCGTCATCCGGCGCTGCCTGGCAACATTGCGGGCGGGCGGTGATGGCGACATGCCGCTGCCAAACCCAAATTGCCGCCGCCCAACTCCCAGCCTGGGGCTGGGATCTGCCGAGCGACTTCCCCACGCCGCCTACTGGAGTTGGTGGGCGGACACTGCCGTGCACTGCTCGCCGCCCGCCTTCACGGCCCTCCCAACGAGTGCCCCTTCCGCTCGCCCCGAAACATCGGCGACCATCGCTCGGCCTGCGTGCAACTGGGCGCGCTGAGGGGCAGCACGCATCTGCAAGGAGGGGGGGCCCGAGTGGCATCGCACGTCGCCCTCCGCGACCTCAACCTGGACGTACCAGCGAGCGACGGACGCCGCATAGAGGTGGTCGCCAATGGCCTCCCCATTTGGCAAGGTGCTCAAATTCGCGGTGGATGCCACGATCGTCCGCCGGGACGCCCAGCCCCGCCCACGGGCTGACCGGGCCTCGCCCTAGACCAGGCAGTCGCCCGCAAACACCGAGCTTACCCGGAAGTGCGGCAAGCGTCTTCGGCATGGAAGTGGGCGGGCGGGTCAGCTGCGGCACCCTAATTAACGTTCTTGCGACTGCTCGCGCCGGCCAGGGCTCGCCAGTGCAGTGCGAACAGGCCCCAGCGGGCGGGCGTAGCCGGTCACAGCACCCTGAGGACCCTGACGCGGCCGCAAAAAAGTACGAGGAGGGATAAAAAAACAGGCTCCGCAGTTGCCGGCATGTTTGTTGTTTGTTCGCGCCGTTTTGCTGCTGCGTGTGCGAGTTGCTGCGACAGGAGCTCTAATCGCCACTAGTATCTAGATACCGCAAACGAAAACATGCATTTGCTTATGCGATCTTTAAGGTCGGTTCTCCGCTGATCGAGACAAGCGCCTGCCTTCACTTAGAAAAATTCGATTGATTGGCCGGCTCGCAAGTGCTGATGGTGTCGTGTTGTCGAAGTTGTTCCAAAAAACTAGACATCCAAACATTTGATGTCAAGTTAGATGATTCTTTCGCATTTGATAAATGCACGCAATGCCTTTGGCATTGTTTCTTTCAGAATCGGGCCGGGACAGTCGACCTCCGGCAAAAATACAGCGGAACAATGACCAGGGTTGCCGATACAGCGCGAAATCACCCGTTGACCGTCTGGTCTAAAAATATCGGTGGCGGTAATGATGGTTGCATCCACAGCACTGTTTTTTGATGCGATGGTTGACATGGCCGTGCAATGTCCTGCAGTATAGCCGTTCAAGTGTTTCACCACAAGCATATGCAGCGGATCGGTCACTCAACATCAACTTCGTCCCATGCTTAGTGCCAGGGCCAGTTCCAATCGTTTTCCAGAGCATGGTGCGGTATAGATAGACGCCGATCGAAGACGCGCCGCTTGGCCATGAATAGTTTTGGGAGGGCAGCGATGGCAGGACTGCTTCGATACTCTATTCACGCTTCGTTTCTTTCTCAGGTGCTCTCTTCCCGGAAAGCTGGTGGGCACATGCTGGCGACAGTCCGGCTGGCCATGTTGTGTTGTTTCGCAGATAGGATCATGCAAGAGCAATGCTTCACAGAGGTTGAAGTACAACCTGGCCAGGCATTCGGCCAACTGCATTGCAAAGGCCTCCCCTTGCCGCCTTCGGACCTGCCGGCGCCACAGGGCAAGGAGAATTCGGAGGCCAGTTTTACGAGTATCGAGCACATATGATTCACTCGACACGAGATTTTGCAAGGCTGACGCGGGTCACAACGTACAGAATATCGGCGGTACCGTACCGATCAAGCCCAGTTTGGGTGGCGCGCCGTGGCAAGAGGGGCATGCGGATCCACATGCTTGGTCGTGGGTGGCAGAAGACCTTCCATCCCACACTATCGACAGTGAGGACACCTTCAAGAAACATAGCTGCCCCATCGAAGGTCGCAGAGCAGCCATTGTTGCAGGACGATGATGAAAGATCTCGGGCAGCGGTTCAAGATGATTTCGAACAGCGTTTGCAAGCCAACACTGGGGACATGGCCGCTCGGGTGATGAAGCTGCCATTCCCTTCGGGCATTCCATAGCGAGGAGTGAAGCTTGTGATGCGCAGGTGGGATTGTGGTGCGACTATGTGCAATGGGTGGAGCAAACCTACCCCAAAACGGAGCATGAAGTCAACGTGCTCGCACGTGCCTGTCCCTCTGATAAATACATGCCCCGAGTCTGTGCAAGCGATGTGCAGTACCCGTGCAACCCCCTGCATTTCTTGTCACAGCACATCTGCAGAGGCTATTCTCTGACCGGCGATCCCGCACTGAAGGACGATATTCGCTACTTGCGCTTGTGGGTGAGGCATGCGGCACTGCTGCCCAGTCCGGACAAGGCTGGGCTAATGCTGGGCTCACTGATTCACTCTCCGTCTTGATCGGTCTTCGTGCTGTCAGGTCTTCGAGTTTCTCCAGAGTGAAGGCAGGCCCCATTGTGACTGTACGCGATTTACAAACAGCGTTTGATTCGTTTCAATGCCGATGACACACGAGGAATTGGGACTTGCCATGCCCTATTCTATGAAGCAGCTGCCGCAAACTTGGAGCGGCAGCACAAGTTCCAGCAAGTTGAAGCCATGCATCTCGACACAGTTGTTCAGAACCACTGGTGGCCCGATCACTCTGTTGATGTGCGCTGGCCATGTTCAGGTATCAACTTGGCATGGATCTTGGCGCACAGCCTCAGCACAGACTTCACTGTCGCTTTCGAGAGTTTCAGCGGCGGATGACAAAGCGCGCTGCTCGAGAAGGCCTGGAGGAACCGAGCACGGAGGGGCAGGTTGTTCTACCACTTCGAACGTTAGGCGATGTTTCGGACTCCGTTGCAGACGCCATGCACCGTGAGGGCTTTGTACTGGTCGATAGAGGCAAGCCCCAACCTGCATCGATTCTTCTGTTTCATGGCTTTCATTTTGTTTAAGTTTTCTCATGATGTCGGTCTCTTGGGGAGGGGGAGGGCGGGGCAAGCCTGGTGCCATGTCATGTTCTTGGTCGAGTTTTGCATAATCCGCTAGTTGGGGTCAGAGACTCAGCACGGCACTTGTGAGCGATGCGCTTGAGAATCTGAACTGTGCTGGACACACCCGGACAATCGGGGAGCTGTTTCGCGCACTTTCCCAGAGAGATGTTTTTGCAGTAGCTTCAGTCGTTGTTTCCGAGAAAATGCTTCAGCATTTGCTGTGTGACTCCCAATAATCCCGACCCGAGACCGATGTTCCCATAGCTCGGAACTGCTGCTCTTGCCAGCTCCTGCTGGATGAACGTCAAAGGGAACTTTCACTTGCTCTATGTGTGTTTGCATCTGGCTTCATCTGCAGTGCGCGGATACCTGGATCGGATACAGAAAAGCACCGCGTCGAAACTGGTCTGATCACTGCTGATCAATGAGATATCACACACAGAGCACACATCACAGGCGCCACAAACGTCGCAGACGTCACGTGCATCACACACAACACAAAGGGACATGCAGAGTTGCGACAGAGAGACCGACAGAGAGACACGTGGACAGACAGACAGCCAGCCAGCCAGCCAGCCAGCCAGCCAGCCAGCCAGCCAGCCAGCCAGCCAGCAGCCAGACAGACAGACAGACAGACAGACAGACAGACAGACAGCCAGACAGACAGACAGACAGACAGACAGACAAAGTTTTGATCGCGGCCTTTATTCTCCCAACCTGTCTTCTTGGCAGACCGGCAAAAGCTGCGGGAACATGCTGACGGGCAGGCGGCTGTGTTTGAGGTGTCCACTTCTCATATACTGGATGATGCCATATATGGTATGATTACATATTAAATGCTTTGCTAGATTCTAGATTGTTACTTTACGGTATATAGTCATATAGCTTTGTATTACTATGGCATTATATATTATGAAGAGAATTGGGCTTCCGTACCTTTCAGGTGGCTACCTTGTTGCCGACGCCCGTCGCTGCCAAACATGCGAGTGTGCGGCAAAGCGGAAGCAACGGGACAAATGATCTGCCTACCGTCTTTTCGCAAAATTCTTCGGAGATGGAGGCGTCGTGTCGGACGCCAGGCCATGCTGTTCCGAGGTGGAGCTCGTCCACGTTGCAGGAGGAGGAGGAAGAGCTGCCGCTTCACGACCAAGCTTTCATCTCGTTTCTGCCTCAGGAAGATGACCTGGACGATGTATCTGTCGAAGAGATGCAGGCTGCACGGATCTTGGCACGTCATGCCTCTGGCCTTGCTCCGAAAGCGCCGGAGAACGAGTCGGCTGGACTTCCTTCGAACATGACCCAAGAGTTGTCCAGTGGCCTGAGGGCCCTGCTTTCAGAATCTCGCTACTCGCACGGACGCTCTTCCGGTGGCTCTGTGTTTGATCCTTTCGACGACCCAACATACACAGCAGAGCTGGCGCAGAAGGAAGTGCTCGAACTTCTGGCTTCCGACCCAAATTATGAACATGCAAGGAGGAATTCGGTGCATTTAAAGCCTCTTGTCCGCGTGGGGCAGAGGTCTGCAAGAGGCGGTGCGAATGTACCTGCCGGGATGTGTGGCTTTGAGATCTTTGACGAAGGTGGCATAGACCTCGGCTGAGCATTTCGGCCCCTCCAATTCGTCGCAAGGACGTCTCTCAATTCCGACTCTGCAACAGGTCCGCTGTGGTAATGCCGTACATGTACAAGCGCACGTCTGGCAATGAAGTTCATTGTGTGCAACTTGCAGTGGCGTTATGGCTCCAAGGTTAGGATTTCCGAATCTGCAGCTCATCAGCCAAAGCCAATAAAACGTCGGAGGGTCGAACAGTTGCGACGACGAAAACACGTGTTGGTGAACCTCACTTCTGCGACGGATGCAGCTGCACCGGCATGATGGAGCGAATGCATAGCCTCAGTCCGAAGCACTGACCAAAGATGCCACTTGATCGTTCCGCCCCGTCGCTTGTCTGAAAGGATATGATGATCTGATATGCCAGTCTCTGAAGCAGGCTCGGGCCGTTTGTGCCAGTTCCCAGGACACGGTTGCGGACACCGTCAATAGATACTGGCACAGGGCACATTCGCGTCGTGGCTCGGGCCTGCAGGGCTTGGAATCAGAAGGTCGCGACATGACTTCGCGGAATGCAGCCGTGTGTAGACAGCACGCAGCTGAGGTCAGAACACAGCAGCTGGTGAATTATTTCCAGACCAACTATAGCAGCTTTCTTGGTGGCAGCTCGCCACAATCATTCCGAAACGGCAATGCGGAATCCTGAAGCGAAGCCATGAACTGAAGGTCTTCTAGCCGACCATGGAGCTCCGCAGCCCACACCGATGTGTGCGCCGAGCTGGCTTCGAAAGTTGAGGATTTGGGCCTAAATGCCACAATGCCCCTGCGAGGTGGCACGACTTTGAAGAGCTTCACATGCGCGTCTCCGCGCCCACATCGCGACGTGGACTTTGAAGGGCGTTATCGCCCTGCATCGGGCAATGGTAGGACTGCTGGTTGTGTCTCCACTGGATCAAAACCCGCCCGTCCTGAGTCCTGAGAGTCTCGCACGTGCGAGGAGGCGTGATCAAGATCAAGGCCTTCGGGGTGTTTTCATGTGAGTGCTTGATTTAAAAGCCCGAACTTATAAAAAGATTTGCTCGAAGGTCCCACACCGGTGCCTCTATCTGCCCGGACGCAGGGGAGCACGCTGCAGGTCGCAACAGCGACTCCACAGTCCGTCTTAGATGAGGGAGATTTGTGAGCGAGACAGCTGTTTCAATAGTTAACAATAGTAAAATTAGCGTGGGCTCTAGGCAGCCCAAGCCCCAAACCGGAAACATGTCTCGCCTGGACAGTCAGAGTGTGAGTGCTGAAGCCCAAAAAGTCATACACGTGAGTTTCCCTCCTGCTGTGAAAGCTTGCGCTAGGTCCCAGAGTCTCCCCGCACAAACGGCCGCAACCATCCGCTGAGACTTGGACAGAACAGAACCACAGAAGAGCTTGTTGGTTTAGGGTTTAAGATGGCTTACGGTACAGCCCTGCAGAAACAGGGCCGCTGGGGGTGTCGGGTTGAAGGGATTATATTTGTACGATACACGCACTTTACGGTTTCTTGAGCTGTAAGGTTCAGCCAAATATGCGCAGGTGTTTTGTGGTGCGCCTAGATGCTTTTAGATTCCTTGGTTGAACAAATTGGGTGCATGTCATGACAGCCAGCACAGCTGTCCGTTTGCGCATGCTGTGAGAGGCTTGGATGCAATCAGGGGACTAGCCGCACCCAGCTGGGGTTGGGGATTTTGCCGAGGAGCCCAAGATCTCGTGGCAAGGTGAAAATTGATTTGAGCAGCTTCTTCCGCAACTTGTGCACTGCGTTGCTTCATGACATGCCCAGGAAATCCTACGTAGATTTTTCTTTGCAACAGGTAAAGACTACGTCAAGGATCTCGCTGGGGAGACCAACGAGGCCTCCTCGAAGGCCACTTTTTGCTTTTCGGCCCTGGAGCTTGACCCGGTAATCTTGTGTACTCTCCTCCGCAATCGCAGGATGAGGACGAGCTGAGAAAGCGAGAAGCAAGCGAAAGCTTGCCGCTCTGATTAAACCCGGCAGTTGAAGTCGCGGGTTGTTCAAGATCGTGAACAAATCGGGTATTGTGTGATTCGGTTGTCGAGGCGGATGCTCGTCCTCGGGAATTCAAATTCGAATGCCGAGCATGCTGATAAAGACCTTCTGGCAGCAAGACCGTTCGCGCTTGTGCCAGTCTGCCGCAAAGATACATTCGCGGCTTCCAGGACTGGGCAGAAAAGCACCGTCGAGGAACCAATGAAGAGGCTCGCTGTCGCTGCTCCTGATCCAGCGTGTCAGATGTATTGCCGTGTTCAGGTGGAAACATTCTGCCGATGCTGGTGCCAGATGGATGCGGACAATGACGGGGATGTAGAGCTGGAGGAGTTCGCCAATTTCTTCAGCAAGAGGAAAGTGGACAGGTGCTCATCTTAGTGCAGCAGCTTCGGGAGCCCCTCGTGGAGTCTAAACAGAGAGAGTGGGAGAGAGAGGGGGCCGCGGGAGTGCTCGTTTCGGACGGTTGCTGTTTACCTCGTAGTTGCTGTGGCCGGTGCTCTACACGTCACCCTTCCGTGAGCCGTGGATGATGTGCTTCGGGACCCTGGGGTCACGCAGGCACATTCAGGGGTCGAACCCGTACTGGCACGGACGGGGGTTGGCCTTCGGGCGGCTCTCTCCCAGACCCCTAGTGCGCAAGCATGCGAGACAGAGACACAGAGTGCGAGCATGAAGTTACATTGTCGGATCCCTGGTATGCGTCCCCATAAGCAAGCTTTCACAGTGCCTTCAAAGCTCCAAACATTGGGGGCCCTTGCGGCCAGGCGGCTTCGAACGCCCCCTAAGCATTTTGGAAAAAGAAGAAGACGAGCGAGAGAGAGCAGTGAACCCTGAGGTTGTTGGGGATGCGATGCATCCGCTACCTTATGCCCCGGGTGGCAACTCAAGGTAAGGCCTTGGCCGCCGGGCCTTATCCAGACAGAATTTCACTATCACTGCCTGTGGTCATGATTCTGAGGCCTGGTGATAGGTCTTTGTCTGAAAAACTCGTGAATCCTAGGTCAGTCAAGAGGACATGATGCGGCTGTTGTGGCCTTCTGCCGCGACCGAAGACATGGACCACATGTGCATGATCTTCGACCATTGCAGGCCACCGGCTTCTAGACACCTGGAAATCAACCTTCGCAGGTTTGCTTACCGTTACTTTGGTCAGTTTTATCACATGGATAGTGTCTTGAGACCACTGCTACTTGCAGTGAATTTGCTATTATCTACTGGTATCACGCTTATTCGTGTGAGTGCTCTCAACTCTTTTTCGCAGCGATGGCCTTTACAACAGTGCGTTGTGCTGTGGTGCTTGGAGTTGCCGCATGCTTTCATGCCGCCAGCTTGTAGAAAGGAAGGGTGCTCGAGGGAGGTCGGTTCGCCAAATCTGTGCCAGGTTGGGCACGATAGCAGCTCCGCCACCAAAGCTCTTGCCGCGAAAGCGGCGCACCGAACTTTTAAAGTGTTTCCAGGAAATGGATGGACGCCTGACATTGGATTAGTCATGTGGAGAGCTTCGGGTTTGCAGTTATGCGTTGAACTGCCGGGTGTACATGTTACGTAGTCTGACTCTCTTGGAGTAGCCATGAGCGAGAGCTCACGTCGGAACCGCGTCACCTGTTTCGCTTGCTTGCTTCGGTGCCTTGCCAATCCCCCGGTATTGCTCAGTACACCACGACTTGACCGTACGAGGTTTCACTACGAAGCGGCAACACGGATTTTGCAGACATGCTGCAACCCGCAAAAGATCGTTGACAGCCCTTGCATGATTTAAGGAAACCACACTGGTCTAGAGCCTTGTTTGCACGTTACGAGCGCCTGTGCGTGCACTGCCTCCTTACGGTAGCTCCTCGATCTGTGCAACGGAGCCGAACCAGCAAGGTTCCGTACAACGACTTGATTCCTGCGGGAGTTGCAGATCAGAATATGGTCAAAATCCTGCGTGACAAGTACGACACGACAAGGACGCTCAGTTTCCAGCTGCCTTGCTGGCTGCTTGACATGGGAAAGAGCCAGAGTACAGCATCATCTTGCCATGTGCACTGCAGAAGCGGCTTCTTCGACAAGAACTGTTTCTTGGAGATGATGGCACCGCTGGGGTATCGAGCACATGAATCAATGCGATTTGTTGCATCCTGGCTGGCATGAATCAACCAACCTTTGGTTGCATGTCTATGGCACCTTATCGATGCTGATGCTCGCAGGTATTGAAAGATGGTAAACGGGTTCGCTTCGTCGAGTGGTGCCGGGAGGGACTCCGTTTCGAAGGGTGGCTGAGCCTTGTTTGAATTCGACTGGGCACCCTGCGGCTTCGTCCCCGAGAAGCGCCGCCTCCAGAGAGGTTGAAAAATTGCAAGAGTAAGGACGGAGAAGCATTACGACAAGTTGAAGGAGCATTACGGTTTCGAGAACGACGAGAATGATGATGCGTCAGCAGAGGATTAGCACATACCATCTTTCGGCCACAGGGCGTAGATTTGTGCACATGTGCACAGTACGTCTCTCACTGGGATGTGTTGGTCGTGTGCACGCATCCGTCCTTTGCTGGTCATCCGATCTGTTTGCGCAGCCTTTTCGGGCGCTGTCTAAATGCCAGTGTGCACGACAGGCTTGTGCAAAAAGGCCAGCCCTGCATTGAGACAGTGTGGTGAATCAGGGCATGCGTGGGCATGGGAATAGTGCTTCTGCAGCCTGATTGCGACAGCTCCGCGTGTGGGAGGGAGAGGCCTTGGGGGTCAGGTAGGGGGGAAGTCAAACTGAATCGCATTATTCCGTTTCCAGAGGGTTTTCCCCCAGCAGGGTCTGGTCGCCCACAGACCTGACGGCCCTGGGCCGTTTTGCGCTCCTTTTTAGAGCTTTTCCTGGCTTTCCCCCGGAAACGGGGAGGTCATGATGCTGATGCGCGACGCACGACCTAAACGGGGATCAGCACATCTGGTGGGTCTTTGCAGAAAAGCCTTTACAAATCCACCACCACCTTCCGGACATCTGCCAGCACATCTTTGCAAGCCAGTGCTTCGGATGCCGCACGCCGACGTTTTTCGCTCGGTAATCATTCCTGCAAACTTCATCTTACGACATGTCCACAAAGAACGCTCTGCGCGATAGAACTATGATTTCCGATTTTGCCCGGGAGCAACCGGAGCTCCTTAGGAAGCTGATGCTTGTCAAAGCTCTACTTAATCTACTTGGCCAGGGACTCGACGACGTCGGCAAATGAGCAGATCTCTGCATGATAGAACAGAGCTTTGGGCCCAACCCGTGGCTTTCAAGTATATTGCTCGCAGCCAGAGGGCGATCAACTTAAAGTCTTGAACCTATGAGTTTCATTATATTACGTTGCTGCCCATGCATGCGAGATTATGCGACGCAGATCAAGAGGGAACTGGGGCAGCACTTCAGACCGACCCATCTTTTGACGGCAATTTTCAGGGTTTCAGGTCTGCCATAACAGCACATCGCATATGAACAGCTAATAGAAACTCATGCTTGGAAGGCAAGCAGTGTCCTTTGGCCGCCAGCGGTGGAGTGAGTAGTGCAACAATGAACCATGAGCGGTTTCTGACCCTTGCCTTGGCATGTGCTCTCTCTGCTTGCGGCCGCGTTTGCTTCACAGCAGTGCAGCAAGGACATGTGGAGGGCAAAGGCATGCAGCATCATGGACCGCTTATCTTTCTTTTCGAACATGGCGGAAGACTCGACGAGACAGCACGCAGACTGTGAATTAGCATATGCCGAGATTTAGGCAGCAGTCTTGTTCATTAATCCAGGGACTTTGTGATGGAGGTTCTGGTGTCGGCCCATCCTGGCATTTCAGATGACTGCATCGCATCGGCCTCAGGAATGCTACCCCAAAGCGAACGGTCTTTTGCAGCAGAAACCTGTGAAGAAAAACAGTTGTTGCACATGCTCTGTCGCTAGTTCGGGGATTTTGTCGCGCAAGTTCTAAGCTAAGTAGCCAAGAGGCACGATGGGCCAAGGTGTCGGTTCGCTGCGGAAGCACTCGGAGACAGGTTCGTGGACACGTGGATCTGTGCGGACAGTTCCCGGCCACGTAGACCCGCTTCCTTGGCCAACACCGTCCGAATTTTAGCCACTGGTTGCTAAACCCGTCTAGCAGAACATGACAATGAAGTGCAGGCGCCGCTCGACATTGCTAGGTGTCAGGCTCTGAAATTTCCGAGCCGTGATCTTAGAATGAGTGACGGAGAGCTGGTTATCTCTGTGTGTGAGAGCTGAATTGCGTTCATAAATAATGCTTTGGTTCGGACTGGTTCCTGTGCTTTCAGGCAACCTGGAAGCCCTCAATGAGCCGTAGATGACCCAGCGCTGTCATTGCCCGACGTTCGCAGCGTGACTTCAGAGCCTGCTTCGAATTTCAGTGTAGAAGTGCCCATAACAGTAAAATGATGGTCATAGTCGCAGCTGGTACTCGCAACGAGAGGGGCATTCACGCAGTTGTTTCATCTTGTCCTGCAGTTACCAACAGGTTGAAGATCGACGTGCTCAAGCCCGTTGCCTCGGCACGCCTCGTCTTGCATCCGCAGCAGGCTTGAGACGGGACTTCAGCGAGTTCTGATTGAACTGGTACAGCATGTCAAAAGGTCGAGTGACATCAGAGAGGCAAAACAAAAGCCGGATACACATCCAGATTTTTGCGAAACCTTGCAACATATGGCATCTTTATCATTGCAAGAGCCAGCTTCAGCCAGGATGAGTATTTCATGAACTTTCTGGACAAGCCCGGCATGGCTATTGGACTCAATGTGCAGCACGGAGCCTGGCACACCATGATATCCTTGCCCGTTCCAGCGGTTCCTGTCTGAAGAGGCCTGCCTCGCAGACGTCCGAGGGTGTTGCGGATGCAGGCAATGAAGAGACGGTCTAGCAGAGATGGCAGAACGCTTCAGGAAAAGCCCTCCTGAGTGTCAGAGACACGGTTGTTGAACCTGCACCCCGAGACCGTGAAATCCAAAACCCCATAGGCCTGAAACTCGCCAAACTCCAAACATCCCTGAAATCCTGAAGCTTTGGACAGGAACCGTCGGGCATCACCCGGGCAGGACAGCTCGCCCATTTTACTGCCAATGCAACCCTAGAAGGAGGTAGGGCAGTGTCGGGTTACGAAATAGTTTAGGATTATGGGCATCTGGGCGGGGGCGGGTTCTCGGAGTTTATCGCTTCGTGCATTGTGCTGCAGACTGCTTCAGGAATTCGTTTCATTTCGTGTGGCGGATCCTGGCAGGAAGCAGGGCCAATCACAGGGTCCTGGGTCTGCTCGGGACTACCTAGAGCTGCATGGCGTGCTGAAGTATGCCTGCGCCTCAAAGCCAATGGCTGCCAGTCGGAATAACTCAATGAAGGTGCTGAAGGCTTTGCGAGGCTTCAGCTTTGGAGAGCAGAAGAGCAAGTCTCGATGCCTTCGGGGTCGTGGGCTTTTATTCTCGGAGGTGCGGTGGTGGTTCTCGGGGCACGCAGCAGTATTTGCTGGCTGTGTTTTCAGGTCAGAAGAATGCTATCTCATAGAATGCAGCGGCATCGCAGTCGTGGTCGTGGCATACCAGAACCACGCTGCCTTCTACTGCCTGTGTGCTGCATGGATCTCCTAACCCGAGACGGCATCAGTATCCTGTTTGCATGCACCATAGTCGGTGACCAGTGACACCTCGCCGGATGGCATTGAGCCCAGCCGCGCGAGAGGGAAAAGAGCCAGAGTCAGCCATCGAGTGTCCGGTCGTTCTGTTGACATGTAAGGGGCAACTCCCCTACCCAGAGCAACTGGTGTCGCTGAATGCTCGCCAGCTGACGCCTTGTGCCAAGGTTCAGAGCATGCTCACGGCTTTGATTCAAGCTAAGCCGAAGGACATGAACTTGGCACTCGACATTCGGCTGCGTTCATGAGTTTCCCCCTTCGTTCTGCAGGATCCGTACGATTTCATGCTGCATCAGCTGTCATCTTCGACGTCCTGCGCATCTGCCAGGCAGGCAGTCTTGCCTTTTTCCTCCAACCAGCAGGTGTTTCCTTTTCACGCTCTGTGGTGCAGGCAGCCAGACACCGGCCCAGAAGACCAGGCACTCCGAGCAGACGCTTGCCCGGAGGCGGTCCCGGTGAGTCCTCCAAAGCACGGTGCTGAGCTTCTGATCGCCGTATCGATGTGCCCAAAGCCTGTCTCTCGCCATCTCGCCATGTTATACTCTTGGACTTCTCGCTGCATGGCCTCGGCTCGAGTGTTAACAGGGTCCCCACCAATCTGCCGGCTCAGCCCTATGCAGACGGGAACCGTGAAGTCATACAATCCCCACAAGGGCGACTTGGCGGCAGCAGGTCGTGCATCATAGCAGGAGATAGAGCCCAGAAGCATTTGCAGACATCATTGACTTGCAAGACTTTGGTGCCAATCCTCGAGGTTGGGGCTTCGTGGAGTGCAATGGCCAAGACAGCTTCCTACACAACAAGGAGCTGAAGGGGCAGTGCCCATCAGTGTCTCGCAGACAGTCTGGAGATTGCTGGAACTTGTACGCCGCAGATGTTGCCTGTGGCACTCTCCGCATTACCCAGGCTGGTGATCAAGTTGCCTTCAAAGTGGAGCCGTCGGAGAAGGGTACGGTGGCAACGGAGGTGACAGTCCAGGTGTCCTCCGAGGAGGCGAGCTCTAAGATGATATCGAGGGGCATTCTCCTGGAAGAGTCTCTGCATCTGCATGATCTGGCTTGTGCATTGTTAGAGGCCTTCTATGCTGGTGAAATCAAGCGCTTCAATCCTGCGGTCGCCTCGGTTGCTGTCCGCCGACCGCTTTCTCCTCAATCTTATGAGTTTGTCTGCCCAAGGTCAAGGGATATGGTTTCATCTCCTGCGAAGCATTCCCTGAGCAAGATGTATTTGTGCTGAAGTCCGAGCTGCCACAAGGTCGGGGTGGCAAACAGTTTTTGGATCAAAGATGTTTCGTTCTGAGAGCAGGTTTTGGCCCCGAGGGAGGCCGTTGCAAGTTCAAGGTCGCAAAGGAGGAGAAGGGGCCGGCGGCGAAGCAGGTCCAGCTTCTTGGAGCCGCCGAGCAGATGAGATCTTGGATGGGCTGGGGGAAGGGATGGGGTAAGGGCGGCTACAGCTGAACATGGTGGAGAAATGGGAAGGACGGAAACGGCCGTTGCCATGGCTGTTGATTCCTTGATGAAGTACATGGTAGCATAGCACAGGCTGTGGCCCTATAGCAGGAGCCAGGCATGCGAACATCGGCCACAAAAGTTGGCCAGTAGCGTACAAAGAACAATGCGGGGAAGACGCCCCAGAAAAGGTGTGTTGTGGAGCCTGTGACACGTTCGCAGGCTCTTGCAACCGCGAATCCTTGAGGCCACAGGATGACCTGCCTGTGTCGCCGCAGCCGCCGCCGGCCGAACGCTCGGAGGGGCTTGCAGACAGCCTTGTCAAGTTTGTGGGACCTGTCCCTCTGCCGAAGCCCAGGGAAATCCATTCCACCTTCCGGGCAGCAGCAGGGCCGGCAGTGACCACCAAACTCACCAAACTCCAGCCGCAGCTCCCCCGCCTGCAGAGCTCACCGAGCCCGCGCCAGTGCCTGTAGCGGCCTGGCAGGATGCAGCCCCCGGGACACAAGCTGACACCCACAGCACCCAGCGAGAGGCGCTGGCAGAGGATACCACTGCCTTGACTGAGCACTCAGAGGAAGTGCGGATCTTAACAAGCTGAAAGCAAGATATCCCTTGTAGCTTCGTGGGTTGTGCAGGCAGCAATATTGCAGTTGCATGGCAGGAGGCGTCCCGCATTCGATTGCAAACTGCCCGGATGCCCAGCGAGCTTGCGATGATTTCTGTGCCAGAAATCCACCATCCCTTGCACCTTTGGCATGCGCAGGTCCTTCTCAAGGCTGGCAAGAACGGAGTCTTGGAAGAGATCTTGCAGGACAGCGGAACTGGCCAGGAAGCATGTCTTGCGCGGCGTTATGCATGAGCCGTCTTGTCACATGACTTGCACGGGCTTGCAGAACCTATTCCGCTCTCCCGCGTGCTCTTGCGAGCTGAGCTCGCAACAGCATGGCTGCATACCGAGCATATTAGATGTTCCGCGCTGCGTTTCCCCGTTGCTTGTCATGTCAGTGCAGAGCTGAAAACCTCTTGAGGTCAACCCGGGGATGGGCACAAAATCGGCCCAACTCCGCTTGTAATGGGCGAGCAGACGGAAAGTGGATTAGGCAGGAGCGATGTGGGATCCCGCGTTCATGCCGACAGCATCGTGTGACCTTTCAAGCGGTTCCGAGGCGAAGGTGATGCCAGCCAGCTTCGTGCTCATGTGCGCGACCGGTTGACGAATGCATGGACGACCGGTGAGTTGAAGGAAGCGGTGCAGGAGGCAACCACAAGAGAATCAAGATGTGGGTTCGCTGTGCGGCAGCGGGCTAGCTGTGGTAAGATGTGGCAAGTCTTGCAGGCGTTGGAACACAACGGACCAAAGATCGCAGAGGTGAAGTCGTCGGTAAGAGTTGGTCTGCAGTGCCGCGCTTTTGTATTCCTGGGCCAGGCGACGGCGGAGCAGAGCATCCAATTCCTGCAGGACCCGGTTGCAAGAGACCTAATGCATAGGAGACTGTACGAGATTCGCTGCCCTTGACATGTTTTGTGGAAAGGACGAGATCAAGATCATGGCCGAAGAAAGTAAGGTCTTACATGAGCAGGCCGGGCTGGAAGTTGAATACGTTGAATGTTGTCGTGTGCACTTGTGGCAGTATGCAACATCCCTCAGAATGAACACCAGGTTGATCGATTAAGCTCCGAGATGCAGCGACTGCTGCTGACAAATCAGCAGTGGCCCAGCCGCACTAAGTCACTAGGAGTTTCGAAACCTGCTTTATTTTGCCTCTCAGCAATTCCGGATGCGGCAATGTGGAGAAAGATATAGTTGCTGAGGCTTCTCAACCAGATCCAAAACGGAGAATCTGCGGGCAAGCTCTGAGTGCCGCAGAGCGGCGGCTTTACCGCTGAATTGGCCAGGGCACATCTAGGTGTGCTTGTAATTTAGTCTCACAAACCAAGGCGTGAGCTAGTCTGCCTTTGCTCTCTTGGGAGACCCAACTCCTGTACAAGCAACTTTTACTGGGTCGGGTGCGCTGCGAACAGACTGCCTGGACCCGGAAACATGCTCTCTGTCGATCACGGAGATAGGATGGCCCACGTCCTCGCATGTTGCGAAAGCTATTGCCGCCGTCCATGTTGCACCTTAGGCATGCTTGCCGCTGCCATATCGTGAAACTGCCTTCGAGCCTTAGAGTCAGAGTCTGAGTCCAGGACAGTTCAGGAGTAAGGATTTGATGCCGGAGGCCTGACTCCAACGGAACACCGTGCAGCCATCGCACACGGCTGAAGTTTCAGTACACCTGCTGCAGATGGCCGCCATTCCGGTCCGTGGCATACAGGCTCATGTGTGTGTGTGTGTGCACGTTCGAGTTTTGCTTTCGCATTGGAAGCCGAGTGGAGAGTACGCAGAGTCAGAGGTCCATCTGTTTCCTGCTTCCTCCGTGCAGGTGCGTTTTCTCCTCTCTGGAATTTTGCCGAGGACTTCCCGGTATCTCAGCATTGTCCCCATGACCACATTGCGACTTTACCAGCCACGTTCGGCTTGCGACGGCTCTGCAACGGTTGTTTGACAGATCTTGGACATTGTCTATCTATCTATCTATTTATCTATCCATCTATCTATCTATCTATCTATCCATCTATCCAGCTAGTTAACTAGCCGGCTGGCTGGTTAGCCAGCTAGCCGGCCAGCTCGCCGGCTAGCTCGCCAGCTAGCCAACAATCTATCTATCTATCTATCGATCTATCTATATGTATTTCCATTTAGAAAATGTGTATATGTATGTGTGTGGCCAGGCCATGGAAAGGAAGGATGAGTAGCTCCATCCGCGGAGGCTGCGGGAAACTGGAAAGATTGAACCGAAATCAGCTGGAGGCGAGATCTGCATGACTCAGACTGCGAGCTTGATGGCAACGGGAAGGAGTTGCAGACAAGTTGAGAACGGTGCGGGGGCAGTCCCAGCACCGAGCTGAGTATTTCACCGCTCCACTCTGCTCCAGCGCCATCCGCTGATTAGTTGTGCTTCTCGCCTCTTCTCGTTTTTGTGTCCCAGCCGAACTTCTCGCTGGTTTCGGCTCGAGTGTTTACAGGGTCCCCACCAATCTGCCGGCTCAGCCCAATGCAGACGGGAACCGTGAAGTCATACAATCCCCACAAGGGCGACTTGGCGGCAGCAGGTCGTGCATCATAGCAGGAGATAGAGCCCAGAAGCATTTGCAGACATCATTGACTTGGAAGACTTTGGTACCAATCCTCGAGGTTGGGGCTTTGTGGAGTGCAATGGCCAAGACAGCTTCCTACACAAGAAAGAGTTGAAGGGGCAGTGCCCATCAGCGCCTTGTCTTGCAGACAGTCGTTGACATTTCTAGTGTGTACGCCGCAGCTGGTGCCTGTTTCCGCCCATTACCCAGGCTGGTGATCCGGTTTCCTTCAAAGTGGAGCCGTCAGAGAAGGGTACCGTGGCAACGGAGGTGACAGTCCAGGTGTCCGCCGAGGAGGCGAAACCTTAGCCGATCTCGCTGGCATGCTCTCTGAAGCTCCGCATGAACTGAGTTCTGAGCTGTCAGTTGCATGAGGCGTCCTACTTGGGTGAAATCAAGCGCTTTAATCCTGTGATCGCCCCGAAGATGCAGTTGCTGACGGTCATGCCAGTTGCACGCACGGGTGCCAAGGTCAAGGGATATGGTTTCATCTCGTGTGAAGCCTTCCCTGAACAAGACGTATTCGTGCTGAAGTCCGAGCTGCCACAAGGTGGGGACAACGACAGCTCCAGTGGTCTTGGGGGATCTGAGTCTTAGCATCAAGGGATGGGCCGTTCTCAGATCCTTCCGCAGGTTTTGGCCCCGAAGGTGGCCACTGCAAGTTCAAGGTCACGAAGGAAGAGAAGGGGCCGGCGGCGAAGCAGGTCCAGCTTCTTGGAGCTGCTGGGAATCAAGCGCAACAGATGAGATCTTGGATGGGCTATGGCGGCTATCCCATGCCCTTCATGGACTGGGGCAAAGGCTGGGGCAAGGGCTGGGGGAAGTGAATTCACTCTGAACCCCAGCATACGTCTCGTGGGTTCCTGTTCCAGGAATTGTGTAGCGAATAGCGAAGACTGATGCAGCTTAAGCGCGTGCACGGTCCGAAAAGGCATGCTTGTTTGAATGCCACATTCCACGGTCTTGCTGGTCGCCTGGTTCCAGAACTCTTCCAGAACCTGGCCACTGTCGATACGAACTTGATCGTTGGGCTCGAGATGTTTCAAGCGATCAGGCCACTGACAAGCCGCCCAGGCATTGTGTATAGAACTGGGTAGCCGTCCATAGCACCTTCAAGCCATGCAGACCGGCACCATCAAGTCTTACAATCCTCACAAGGGCTTCTCGGCTCAGAAGTGCAGTCTTGTGAGAGCAGGAAGCATTGCAATGCTGATCGTGCATCGTGCAACGCAAAGGTTGGGGGTTCATTGAGTGCAATGGACAAGACACCTTTGTGAACAAGAAGGATCTGAAAGGCTATTGTCCATCAAAGGGGAATCAGGTGCAGTTTGAGGTGACCCAGTCTGAGAAGGGAGCCCAGGCGGCCGAGCGCATGTTGCTTTAGTGGGCAGAGACTCTGCATCCTTCAAGCGCCTTCTCTAGAGAGGCCACGAACGTGACAGTCCTCGGTTCTCCGGAAGAGCTCAGCTACTTCGGGCAGATCAAGAGCTTCAACCCCAACAAGGGTTCCCGGCTGAGCGGCGGCCAATCAGCTAATCTCGCCTGCGCACGGGCTCTATGGGCCATGTGCTTGTTGCCGAGGTTATGGCTTCATAACTTGCGAGGCCTTTCCGGGCAAAGACATCTTCGTGCTGAAGTCGGAGCTTCCGGCAGGCTACGGACCCATAGGTGGCCAGTGCAAGTTCAAGGTGCAGGAGGAAGGAAAAGGACCCTCAGCAAGGGACGTGATGCTCCTCGGCTCAGCAGGCCAGCAGGCACAGCAGATGAGCTCCATGACATATGCTGATCCGGGCTATGGCAAAGGCTGGGACAAAGGCTGGGGGAAGGGTGGTTGGGATTATTGGGACATGGCCGGAAAAGGCGGCTACGGAGGCTACGATCCCTGGATGGGAATGATTCCCCCACCTTGGAAAGGATATGGCAAAGGCTATGGTTGGTGAGCGCTTGTAGCTGGGTCCTCGCCCATGTGGCCACAACAGCTGGCTACCATGCAGGAAAAGCGCTCGAGCCAGGATTCAGATTCTCAATTCCAAGTCGAGGTTCTGGGGCCAGCCATGTCCCCTTGAGAACGTTTCAAGGTCATACGACGACTCGAAGCCGCACCGCTGCAGCCGCCACAGGCGAAACGCTGCTGGAGGTGCACCTCGCTGTGTTTCTTGTCAAAATGTGAGTGATCTAGGAGGAGAAACTGCAGAACTGAGTGCCAACCAGACACAGCAGCACAGAGCAACTTATCGCATGCTGGGTCACTCCTCTTTGTCATTGCTGCAGGGTCTGCTGAATCGCAAGTCTGGAGGTCACCACAAATACCTTTAAGCTTGCAGCAGGCCCACGAGAGCTTTTCTGGCAGATGCTCGCCTCTGCTGAGGCAGGCTTCGGTTGTTCCAGTGAAGCAAGGTTTTTGCTCAGCTTCGAGGCTGCGACAGCTGGCTGAGAATTTTGGAGCGGGCAACTTTGGGACCGCACAGGCGCACGTCCGCGATCGGTCTGGACACACCGCCTCAACACGCTTTGTCACTGTCAAAAAACATGACTCAGTTCTTCGTGAATCATGGTCGATCCTGGCCTGGCAGGCTGTCCGCAGAACCACACTGCGGCGTCGAAGAGCCTCGAAGGATCTTCTGATCATTGTTTAGTGGAGCTTGTGGGGTGCGAGCTACCACTCACTGCTTTGCTCAAAGTCAGCCTTGCATGGGTACTGGCGATGGACACCATGAGCCACATAGTCGAATCACCGAAGCATTCGAAAAGAAAACACGTGAGAAACGGCATGTTGACACTGTCGCTATCATATCTACGACAGGGATTGTCACATGGTGTAGGCGGCGGGAAGCAAGCCGTAGAAAAGTTGCACATCAAGAGTCAGAAGTCGGAAAGAAATGTCTCAAGGACAGCAAGACCGGAAGCAATCAACAAGGATGGTGCTTCGCTAAAGCCGCGTGAGGAAGGAGTTGCGGAGTGCGAGATTTCTCTTGCCTCGAGCTGAAATCAAGACTGCATCGGTCGCCACGAGAAGCAAGCCGTGCTGTTTCTCTTACAGTCCATTACAGTATACTCTATCATGTTCTATTATCTTACCTGCGGTTCACTTCAAAGAGAACAATCAAACGTCGGGGCTCTTTCGCCTAACGAACGTCGCAGCCGTCTGTTCGCACAAGATGATGAAGCAGACAACCCTTGTGGATACTTTGCCCTTCCTGCAAACAAACGCGGAGCGATCTCTACGCCCTGAAGATCGAAGTGCTTTGGCAAGAACAGGAAGCTCGTAGAACTGGCGCAGGCCATACACGCCGGTTCTGCGAGGTTCTGTATACCTGCTGAAACGAAAACCGGGAAGCCCCGATGGTTTTGTACATGAACGGAGATCGGGACACCAAACCCAGCGGTGCGTCGAGCCGGGGCACTGTCGTAGCCAGTGATCTTTTGTGAGCATACCATTGCAAGGCGTTTGTGTCAGCCGCCAGCTACAAATTCAGTCTGTCCTTGCTGTTGACTTGCCGAGCCCCAGGACGTCCACTGACTCTATGGTTTCGCCCTTGGTTTTTGGAAGCTTTGTGGCAGCTGTTGGCAGGTGGCAGTTTTGCCTGGGTTTGTTTTGCAGTAGCAGTGGTGGCAGACGAGTCCGAAAGTACTCGTATCTATTTATCGTTGGTTTGTGTCATAGGAGGTGTGGAGTGCTTGAAGAGTTCGCATCTTAGGAACCCTCTCAGTAGAGGTGAGGCCGGGTGGCGGGTCCGAAACGCTTACTGGACCATCAGTGGCTCCTTCGCTCTCGCGCTTTTTGATTGTCTCACTCCTCGCCTCACTCAATCTATGCCTATCACTTGCTTGACTCAACAGCTCCTCACCCTCCGCTTCCTTCAGCCTTTTTGCCGCTCAAATTGTAGTGGTAGATGGCAGGCAGTAAGGGACTAGTCTGCATGACAATAGCGCAGCAGCTTCCATCAGCTCCGAGGCTGTCGATGACACGAGGTGGCGGAGGAGGCGTCCGGAAAATTCTGGTGCGATGTTGATGGAGATGGGCAGAATGACCTCAAGATCACTGATCTTAATCTCAACCTCCCGGCACTAGCGGATTCTGTCCGGTTTGCCCGAGCAGGCCTAGACCGAATCTGGATGCTGGTGGATGCGTGCCTTACACAGAGTCCACCTCGGGTTCATCGTTTTCGTTCCGAGAGCGCAGTGTGATTGCCGAGATAGCAGCGGCCACCAGCGGCCAGGATGCACCATCTGACCATCTGACATCGGCTAGCCGGCCCCAGCTTTGCGTGCAAGAGTCTGTGGGCGAAGTTCGGGATCACAGATCAGGGCCTTGGCAGGCCGAGGTCTGTTGAGTCTCACGTCCAACACGTGATGATACCTGTCATTCCTCCTTCCAGAGGTGTATACAAGCAGGACTTCTGGGTTGTCTTCGTTGCAAACAGACACGTCATTTGCACGATCGGCCATGGCGTTCCGAAAGTTGTTCTTCTTGTTGCGACTACTCCTTGAACTTGAGCCAGGCGCTTGCCGCCGCAATTTCAGGGAAGCCGTGCACAAAATACACTAGGGCAAGGGCGGAGGAGCTGAGGTGTACTGCACTTTACTTTTCGAGTTATGAAGCTGACAGAAGCCGCGAAGCCAGCGCAAGCCTCTACCGTGACTCTAGCAGTTCTCCATTGCAAGAAATTGGTCAAAGCCGGTTGCGCCATCTTTTCGCCGCTGCGCCGCGGATCCTTGGCATCCAGGCCGGCACACCCCGTTGTCATCGGACAGTGCTCGTAGGGCGTGTTGCTTTTGGCTTTCGGATTGTTCTTGAACTGCGGAGGTTCGGGTTCCAGCTAAGAGACTACCAAGAAGGCAGGGCCTGGGCTGTTTCATTTGCCTGTGCAGTTCTCTCCTCTTGCTTTCCGTTCGCTCGGCTTTTGTGAGGTCGGGCTCGGCCCTGCACATGCACAGGTCCTCTGGGCAGAGGCACATTCCACCATAGAGGTATGGGGAATGAGGGCGAGGGAGTGAAGCAGGGACATGGTTATCTCCAGTTGTGGTACCCACGGAGTCACGCGTGGGACTCGCGAGCGGCAGGCCTCAACTTGGACGCCACCATGGCATCGCAGATGCAGGCGTGTCCTCTCGGAGCTCATGTCGCGGAAAATGCTGGGGCAGTTCCGCAGGTTTCGGTTTCAGCTATCGTTGCGATATTCTTGGCAGGCTCAAAAAGAGCTGCGGCGAACAAGCTCAAAGCTTGAGTCGCTACTTAGCTGCCATGTAGGGTCACGATCGGTACTTGATGCATGTTCTGATCAGTGCCTCGTCTTCAGGAGGCAAGGGGGCTACCAGCTTGTTTCAACCTGCCCCTTCGAGTGTGACAAGAGGAATGGCTCGGGCCTCGCAATTCGCTAGCATGTTGCAAGGGCTGAATGCTGCAACATTTTGTCTGCAATCGGCGGAAGCATAAGGGGCTGAAGACGACAAGAAGAAGGAGAAGAACGATCTTGAGGCTGCGTAGCAAAACACTCAGGCTGAAAGCTGCATTGGCAACTTCTGCCAAGGGCTTTGCTACCATTTTCGGCGACAACAAGATCCTTACGAGCCTGTCGCAGCCCCATGATGCCCCAGGGGCCCATGCATGTTTGATCAGAGGGCTGATTAGCAGCGGGATCCTGCAGCCGTGTGCTCAGGTTAGTCTTCGTTCCGCTGGGGCTCATGGCACACCAGCTGCACTGGGCCGACACTTATGCCTGGCACCCAAGTGAAGTCCCAACTTCATCTTTCCCTCCCAAAAAATCGCCTGCCAAGGTGTTCTCCTTCAACTTTGTCGCGATCATCCCACTGGCGTGGCTCATAGGGAAAGCCACAGAGGCAAACCTGGAAGACTTCGGGGGTCTCCGCTTCAGCCTTGAGCCTCTAGCTTCTCCGGTCAGGATGTGGCCGCCAGGATAGGGGAGACGGCTGGTGGTCTTTTGAATGCAACCTTTGGCAATGTGGCCTGGGACCGACAGACAACGAGTTGCTGTGCGTCTTTGGGGCGGGTGCTGAAAGCTGCATAAGTGCAAGGTCGAGATGCTGCTCTGCATTGTGCAGCCCCCAGACGTGCAGAGCTGGTTTGGGTTATGCTCTTTGGCGTTCAGGCCGGAATTCGCAACAACGAAATCAGCGTTCCTTGACGGCACCTGAAGCATTCGCGGTGTGTTTGTAGTGTCTGTGTGTCCAAAATGTCCAAGTCGAGCGAACATCGCGAGCAATGCGAGCCACTAGACCCACAGGTTGTCCAATGCACGCTGCTTGGGCCGGGAGCTCAGACTCCTCCCGTCGCAGAGCCAGTGCGTATGATTCTGCTGCGTGATCAGGTCTATCCTCAGCAACCTATTGCTGGTAATGGGCCAGCTGCCCAACAGACTGACACTGCAGTGAGGAAGAGTTGAACGGGTATCTGGTGGTGTGCTTCTCCAAGGCTGTGCCTTCCTCTTTGGTGGCCTGTACTATCCGATCCAACGGTATAACCAGGCCTCTCTTCTCACCCCACAGAAAATTGGGGGGGGGGGGGCCGGAGTGAACCATTTCTGTCGAGGCCGGGGCTGCCACGCAATGCTCTTTGATGGCTGCTGCCTTGGGAGTCTTGTGAGGGTACCCGGTCCTAACTTGCAGAAAAAAGATGTTCCGAGGCCCTGAGTGTTTTCGCAATTGGTTTGCCGACGATCTATGTCAACGTGCTCAAGCAGGTCCGAACTTGCATGTCAATGCTTCTGCAAGCTGTGGAGTCGGCGCACAATCTGGCAGCCACAGGAGTCTGAGTGGGAGCACATGGTGGAGGTGTCGCGATGGGTCCCCACCCGAGATATCAGCAGCTACAGCATGTATGCAAGGCTTGAAAAGATATCAAGAGCACAATTCTGAGGCTTCGGTGTGCCTCCTCGGCGTCTATTTTGCGCGAGGGTCTCAGTTGCTCTATGATCGAAACTGCTGTGTCTGTGTGTGTCCTGCCAGGTATTTGGTGTTCCAGCTAAAAACGCACGCAAGCCTCTTCCAGGACAGACAAAGAAGCCTCCGACGCTTCGTCTCTGCGTCGGCATGTGCGGAAGATCCTTTTTTTCAGGACGAAGGCGAAGGCGAGGGCGAGGAGGAGCCAGCTCTGCTCCCGTATACTTTGACCCTAATACGTGTTATAGATCCCACATCCCCTATCAAAGCCCTCTAAATCCTACACCTCCATAAACCCCAAAGCGTCTACCGAGTCCGTCCCCTCCACCTCAGGAAGAGGAGCCCGACCTGAGCCCAGTTACAGCAGCAATTCTGCTGCTGGCCACTTCCTCAGCAGAATGTCTTCGTTCTGCTCTGATGCACATGTCCTCCTCTTGCAGCTACAGGTCTGCACCGTTGTTACGTCCTATGCAACCGATGCCCTCATTGAAGCCATCAAGGCTGGAGCGGCAAGTGATGTCACAACATGGTAGAACGAAAATAGAGTCTGAGACAGTGATTACTGAATTCTGCAACACGACAGGGGACGATTGATGAGTGGAAAGTGTCCAAAGAGTAGCAAGCTTGGTTCTGCTTGAGTTGCACGGAGTGTTGTTTTCCAGATTCGACATGTTGGACCAAGGTTCATTGGCATTATCTTGCTGCCAATAATTGGGAACGCTGCCGAGCACTACACTGCAATCAAAGTCAAGCTGCCAACCTTCTGGCAAGAGCCATTGCGCGTGCCCTGCATGCGTGTGTGTGGCAGGTAGCTATGCAGAACAAAATGGATCTGTCCCTTGGTGTGGCTGCCTCATGCTGCTTCACTGGATCATGGGGTCCTTGGTTCCTGATGTTGACTGTGGTCACTCTACCAAGGTAGCTGCAGGGTCGTCATGTCAGATGGCTCTGCTCGCCCGGCACCTGAGTTGTAGGCGGTTACATGCGGACTGTCGCACTTTTTAGCTGGACTCGGTAGTCGAAATGGCACAAAAGACTGCTTTGCATGAGCGCCCATGGCACAGCAGAAAGAAATGGTGCAACTCCAAGGTAACTCCTTTCACTGTCTTGGTGGGATGGTGCTATGGCTGGATGCCCAAGGATCCGAAAAACCTGCGATGCATTTCCTCAACTTGGGAGCTGCATGCTGCAACTGAATTTAAGGCACAGAGATGACCTTGAACTTTCACGCTTTCCAACTTGCTGCCTCGGTGCTCAGACACTGGCCAGCTGGTCAAAGCACCTGCCCCACATCTTCACTGCTAAGGTACTTCTATTCTCGGTCTTCCTGGTCAACTCCATTTTGAATAATGGCCAGTCCAACTGGTTGGAGGCCGTGCAAAAAGCAATTCTGGCTCCCAGGACTTGCCCGAATGGGCCTGGGAGCGAGACTAGAATTCCTTCACTGTGGTCAGGTTTTTGTGTTTCTCTCAATATCTCATTACTCGACAAAGTCTCTGAAAGCACCTCACAACCGCAAGTCCATGCTGGAACGTACAGATGCCCGTGCCGGCCAGGGCTACATACTCCTCGTAACTTACTTCGTGGTTTCACTGATCTACTTCTTTGAGGGCCGCTTTCTAAGCTTCGGCTGCTCATCGTTTTTGATCTGGTCTGGAGCTCGTGCACGACTTCGCTGTCGCAGCCAAGGTCCCGACAATTCCCTCGCCCGGTGGCTGAGCATTTTTGCGCGTCCCGCAGGGGGTTTCAAAGGTGTGACTTCTCAACCCCTGAGGCTTCATAGGCCTGAGGCAGCGGCCCTGGCAGCATCGGCAAACCACGCAAGTGTTGGAGCGGCGCTATGCAGGATGTACTCTTGACAGCAAAGCAGGCATACTGAGTCACACCAGTTTGACTAGGCCGTAATCGTCCACAGTGAAGGCCATGATATGTCCTGATGACTTTCGATCTCGTGTCCTGCGGCTTCCGGTCGTTTGACGGAGCTTTGCCTCGCCCGTTTTTGATCAGACACTGAGAACAGGTTTGGCATGACAGGTGTGGGGTAAGGCAGCTTCAACAGCCTAGGAAGGCTCGGTTGGCCATGCAGTTGTCCGCTACATCCTGCAGCACAGACAAGCGGCGACTTTACAGCTTCAGGCTGCAAGTACCACTGACCGAACAAAGCGTCGCAAAAGGAGACTCCAGAGCAGCAGATCCCGGAGCCATGAACCATCCTGGTCCTCGCGGGATGCTTGTGGCACTTCTGGTCCATGGCATTGCAAGCCGATTTTAAGAATCGCGGAGGCTTGCAAAGCCTCTTCAACCCGAAGGCCGGCAACAAGGTATTCGCCCTTGACTCTGTCTTGCCGGATGCCAATCGTACCCGTCCGCAGAAGCCCGCGACTGGCAAGCTGGCATTGCCGGCAGTGCCTGGCAGCAGAAATGTGGGTGGAGAAGATCCTTTGAAGGCCGGATCACCCGTGCTCTCTGTGAGTCCAGAGCTTGAGCCCGTCCGTGAGTCAGACGGCTTCTCCCCCGCGCTCCAAGATGCTGTACAGACTATGATGCAAAGCTTGCAAGAGGTCAAAGAGCCGCAAGGAACAGCGAAGGTGACAAACGAGCCTGAGATGACGGCAGTTGCTTCTGAAGAGCCCGCACCTGACTTGACCTCGACGTCGGAGGCACCGAAGCCGGCGGAGCCTCAAACTTCGGAGTCAAGGATGAGGCGTGCCATTGCCAGAACACGGTGGCCGGCAAAACCGCCCGAGAGAATCGAAGAGATCAAGAACATTGAGGTTTTTGCAGAGCGGCTTGTAGATGCGTACGGGTCCTTGACGAAGGCCTTTGAAGCCTTCGACAGTCATGACCGAAGCGAAGTGACAAGATCTCAGTTCGATGCTGCACTGGATGCGATGCATCTCGACGTCGAGGAGCTCTGTGGCATTCCTGCGTCCAAGCTCTTCAGCATGGTAAGTCGAGCCTCCAAGAAGCCCATCGGAGCATTGACAGAGCAGGCTTGGAACTCTTTCTTCAAGAAGTACCTCGGGCAGACGTCCTCAGCGCATTTGCTTGAAGCCGACTACAGCATCCAGGCCGCCTTGAGTCATCTGGCAGAGTTGCACCAGCTCCAGCCTTCTTCGATGCCGCGGGAACGAAAACAATGGACTGAGGAGGCTCCGTACAACAAGCTGCACAAAAACGCTGTCCCGCCGTGAACCAGCACGGGAGTTTTGTAAAATTTTCGGTAGAAGCACCTCTCAGCAAGGTATTCCTAGTTTCATGGATCCATCACACGCTCCCCAAAGCAATGACACATCTTGGCAGGGCTCAGACTCCGATGCTCCGCCCCGTCGCTGGTGCGTTGTGGCTGCGGCCGCCCGGAATATCCGGAATCATCTTCTTAGGGCACTTTCTTCCTGGATCAGGGGTGCAGGGTTTAGGGTTTGAGGACATAGCAATGTAGGGGGCCTCCATATTTGGGGCGGGGTTACTATTGGGGTTCCTTCCTGGTTTCTGGTTTCTGTAAAGGCACCTCTTAAGCAACTCTCGGGAGGTGCTCGATGATGCGGCCATGTCTAAACTCGCCAATCTTGAGGACACGGGCAGCACCGAACCTGAGCGGCAACGTGATGCAGGTGTTTCAGCCATTGGACAGCAGAGCCAGATACAGCCTTTCAAGAAGCAGATCTCTCATGAAGTAATTGGCTTTTACACAAGCGTAGTTGCTTGTGTGGCTGTGTGCGAGCCTTGCATAAGCTGAAGGACAGGAAAAAGAACATGCAGGAAGAAGTGCCCTGGCCAATTCCTTTCGATGTTTGATGTTTTGTGAGTTTTGTGGTGAGGTATAATCGGTATAATGTACCACCCGCCCCCTCTGGTTCTTCAATTACTCCTACGACCGTGATTTCCATGTTATCATCCATATGCCATATCGTACATTCTAGTCGGGATAGTCTTCGAGTTTTCATCGTCTGTGTTTCTTCTATTTCCCTGATACCAGATCGTGACCCCTGAGCGCCAGCGCCGAAACTCTAGACCCAAAGCTGGAACTGCAATGCTCCTAGTGCGACCTGATGCAAGCGGGTGGGAAACCTCTGAACGAAACGGCCAACAGGGTGACCGCCCGTCTTAGGAAAAGACGTTCCAGAAACCATACCTCAACGAAGGTGGGAGGCAAAAAAAAACCAACCCCAAAGCGAATATATCCGACAAAATTTTCGGAACCCTGAATCCTTCCTAGACCCCATGAAAAACCTCCGAGAAAAGGCAGAGTTTGTGTTGCGAGCCTCGAGGCTGGAGGCGGCCGGCGCCGTGGTGCCGTCGGCTCCCAGGAGACAAGAAATCGCCCGCCGGAAATCGGTGTTAACTTATGAGTTTAGGAGTTTGGGGCTTGAGGGTTTTAGGGTTTAGGAGTTTAGGGTTTAGGGTCCCGGGAGCTGATTGCCAGAGTCTGGGTTCAACAAAAGGGTTTGGAGGGTTCAGGCTTTGAGGGATGTAGGGAGAGTGCGTGTGACGCAAGTGCAGGTGAATTACATGCCATGCTAAGGTCGACTCTGCTAAATGAGTGTTTTCAGTGACCTCAGTTCGGCGATGAGACTGTCTAGATATGAGCAAAAGCCGGCCACAAAAGTGATGTGATGTAGGGGCCCAGGGGTGAGGAGTTAACCGTCAGAGGCCTGATGCAGCCAGGCTTGAGTCAGGGTTAAGGCGGAAGGATGTATTTGGGCAGATGGTCTTGACCGAAAGAAGCGAGGATGCAGAGGGCTCATCTGCCTCCGACTCTGACGACGATGCCACTACAAGGCGGCGGTTGGCACAGGACCAGGTGCTCTACGGGTAAGTGTGTTCACAGGGCGCCTTTAAACAGCTAGCGATTCAGTCAACAAGCAGACAAAAATGCACCTGAGGCCGGCGACGGTTCGCGTGATGGTAGAGGGCAGCTTCACGGGTCGTCTGGTGGCTCCGGTGTGAAGGAAGGGACCTCGGGCGAGGATGAGGATGCCAAGCTGCTAGCCAATGGAGCCCAATCCGGCGAGGCTTCTTATTCTTCTGATCCCAGCGGTGGCAATGACACTCGAGGCCAAACGCAGGAACAGCGTGATCAGCGTGAGCGTCTGGGAGCTATTGGTGAGGACGATTCGACCTTGAGCCCCGGAGCAGAAGTGTCTAACAGTGCTGCGTCAGATGAAGATGGATTGCAGACATCTGCGAGCGCCAGAAGGCGGGCCATGCATCGAAAGTCATCCAAGAAACAGGGGTGTGTCAGGCTTCCGGTGTATTCTCCTACAGACCAGAAGGGACCTTTTAGGATTTGTTGTGCCCTGCAGGGCTCCTGGTGGAGAATCCGGGAAGCAAGGGCCGTCTGGGCCTGGGCCTGATCACGGCTCGGGCTCGGGCTCGGGCAGCGGTTTCAGCAACTGTGGTTCCGGTGTCGGTGCTCCGAGTGGTGCTTCTGGAACGGATGGTGATGGGCATCGGTCGGCCGCTTGGCCTCCAGGCGACGCCACTGCCGGCTTCCGCTGGGACCGCTAGGGCTAGGAGTGAGTTTTGTGTGTTGATCTACGGAAGACTCAAAAAACCATACCGGCGTACTTGGGATTATTTCGTTCCGCATGCAAACATTTTTAGCAACACGGCTATCCTGCCCCTGCACGCCCCTGTTTCGATCGCGGGCAGCCTTGTTCCCGCCATCCAAGGCATCCAAGGATGGACAGGCAGAAGAAAGAGATGGCAGGCGAATGTGTGTGTCGAAAGCGTGTTACCGTGTAGCCGAGTCAGTTCTAAGAGCCAGAATGCAATTGTCAGCCTCAGAAAGACCTGAAGAACCTGCCACAGTTGGGCCAAGGCGCCTGCACCCGGGCACTGGCTCTGCAGCTCGGCCGAAAGGTTCAGCTGGTCCACGGCAATTAACACCTCTCCACCTGGCGAAACCGAGAGTGCTTAATCACCCATGCTCCCGCAATTTCAGGCCGCCCTTTCATGTGTGAGTCTAAGCATGTCACGGGGCCAAGAAAACAAGCTGAGGCCGACAATTCCTCCGCATCGGGAAGGGGGCCTGAGAACAGTTCTACAGATGCGTTCGGCTCGACGCCTGCGGATCCGCCCGGTGCTTATGCCATTGTAGGACATAGCGGTGAAACCAGACTGCTGCAAAGTGCCTCCTCGCAAGGCTCTCTGGAATTTTCTCTGGAAGCACCCGAGATCTGGCTTCTTGACACAGAAGGGATTTTTGAGAGGGAGGCACATGCTGCGAATTCTAAGGACGGGCGAACGGACAACATGGGTGGACGTCTTGTTGCCGGTGGTGCTGGCGCTGGTGGTGCTGCTGGTAGTAGTGTTGGCGGCAGCGATGGTAGTCGTGATGCTGGTGCCGATGCAAAGGCCAGAACTTCGAGGATGAAAGACGCTTTGCAATCTTCCTATTCTCGTTAGCTTCGCTGCAGGATGGCCGCACTGGGCGAGCTGGCATCTCATCTTCCTTTTCCGCACAAGGCCTGGATGGAGCGCCTGCGGGATCAAAGTCTTTCTCAGGACCGCCCGGCAATTGCAGCACGGAATCAAAACGGCGAAGCATTATATACGGTCACGAAAGCCAATCGGTGCTTCCAGAGGACATGCGGAGGTGAATCGGCGAAAGTACCAAAGCGAGCCTATCGATCTGCTGGCCAGAGCAGCTGCCGAGTCCCAAAGCCACTCTGCAGTCGGGGCCGAGGGTGGATCCGATGAAGCCGGCGATGTCACTGGGCAGGCCAGCAGTCCATAATATCCATAATATCTCTGAGCTCATACCTTTGGCACTGGAGATTTTAAGTCAAGTGCCGCATGTTGCATGCTCTACATGCCGTTCGTATTTCCGTAGGTCGATTGTTGGCATAAGATTTAAAATAGCGGGTACTTACCTAACCTACCTACCTACATGCAGGCATTCATGCACTCATGCATGCCTGAAGACAGGCAGACACACAGAGACAGGCGCACACACACGCACACACACACACACGCACAGAGACGGAGACATCTATCTTGTATCTAGCTATCAGTCTGTCGATCCATTCATCCATGCATCCATCCATCCATCTATCCATGCACGGATCCAGCTATCACTCTACCTACCTACCTACCTACCTACCTACCTACCTACCTATCTGTCTATCTGACCATTTATCTACCAATCTACACGTATGGGTGTGCCGCTCAAGTGTCCATGCATGCACGGTATGTACTTTATGCGTGCCAAGAGATGTGCGACTCCACGCTCCTTTGTGTTTCTATCTCGCTCCCTCTGTCTGCATGTGTAGATAGAAAATATGTACATATACGTACACATCTACATGCATGCATATATGTATATGTATGTCTGTCTATGTGTATATATATATACATTTATGTGTGTGTATGTATATGTATATGTATGTATACATGTGTATATATAGATATATACACGACTAAATCAACTGCGTATGCAATACATGCATACTTCATACTTGCATGCCTGCACATTTGCATACATACATACCTGCCTCCTGCATACATTCATTCATGAACACATGCACACACACGCATTCAGCCCTGCGTTTGTTACTGAATTAATGTCGGCGCAAGCATTTATGGCCAGATGAAGGCGTGCACGCGTACACAGACACACTTGTAGAGGTAGATACATCTACAAATATACTCACACACACGCATGCGAGTTGGCTTTACTGCTTTTGTTTTTCCTGTATAATATATCGTGTTAGGGCTTTGACGCTCAGGCGACTTCTGGGCTCAAGGTTGCCTACACGCATGGCAAGGCGACGCCACTGTTTTTTGGTCATGTACCATCTCATTCGAGGCTGTGTTCTTCTATAGACTGTAGTGCGGCATGTTGTTACGGCATTAGGGCTTCGGTTTAACATTTTGAGAGTTTTTAGAGTGAGACTGTGGCAGTTGATATGTATATATACACATGGATACCTAGCCTGCTGTCACGACACCAGCCAGTCCTCACAGCGTGGCAGGCGGAGGAAAGCTCCGATTCCGAGGTTGATGATGAGATCAGCAGCATTGGCATTGAGGACTAGCTTTTAGCCAATTGAGGGTTAAGCCAGTTCGAGGACTTTCTGTGTAGTGCAGGGATATGTCCGTCGTCGATCGGTTCACCTACCGCAGCTACTGCTGGCTTTGCGTCGCCCGACGATTTTCAGACCCCCCACCCACACCACCCGTCGATTGAAATTTTGGCTGTCGAGAGACCATGGCTCGTCGCTCGCTTTCGCGCGGTGGGCCGGGTGCTGAAGGCCTCCCCGGCGCCGGCCAGCCTAGTTTCGGCCATTCCGGTGGACCCCGCGCGATGCGCTTTCATACCATCCCAAAAAAGAGGGTCCGTTCGTCGCAGCCTTTTGGAGTGTCGTGGGAGTCGGACTGGTCCTGTTTTTTCCTTCTCCACCGAGGGCTAATGAGAGTGGAGTTCAGATAACGACCGCAGGTGTGACGCAGATTCAACCGGATCAAGTGGGGGTTTCCGAAAATGGGGGGACCCTAACAAATAGGACCCGGAGGCGGAGGGTTTGAGAGTCTCTTTTTCTTTGCCACGTGTTTAGAAGAGAGCACGCATTTCAAGATCTGTGCGGCCGCCAGCCGCCAGCTCTTGTCACACTTCTGCCTACGGTTCCGAATGTCAGGGGAGGAGGTGTCTTTTGCAGGCCTTGGGGTCTCTTGTGGTGTGGCACGACTTGGCAAAACTCTTTCCTCCAGATCCTGGCCTGACGTGGCCGGGAGCCTTTAGCGTGTCACATCCGAAGAACTCGCACGGCGGAACTTCGAAAGTCAGTCATTCGGCAGGGTGGCCCTGGCAGAGTTCCGTTCCTTTTGGGCAGGAGGACAAGACCGCCGGCGACATTCAATCACTAGTGAAGCGCGTGTGTGCCTGAGAAGCCTGGGAGAGCCAGGTGCGGGCTGTAGGCAATAGACTCAATAGACACACCGATATGCCATCTCCACATCCGAGGTGTTCAGGCTTTATGCCACCGGCTATTCGAAGGGTCAGTATGACTCTCGCATGAATGGGTTACTGAGCCTTACCCCGTCATACCTTTAAAGTCGCTTTTGTACCTTGTCACTGTGACCGAGGTGTTCATCCGAAATCCCGACCTGAGCCACTTTATGGATGATGCAAAGGAAGCTTTGCCTGCCCATCGGAAGAAGTTTCGACGCTTTAGCACCAAGGCTGCAGAAAGCTTGCAGGGCTTGCTGCACTGATGGGGAATAGGTGGAAGATGCACAAGCTTCCGGAACTGAGAACCCTTAGCATGTAGTGCAGTTGTTGGATGCCGTGAGAGTGGCTTGGTGCTGATGTCTGAAATTTGCACAAACCACATACCAACATGATTGCTGTCCGAGAACGAATATTCGAGTCGATCTTCGATGACACTATACAGCTGCAGTGTGACCTGGCTCGACTGGGCACCGCATAGGCAACGATCGTGGATGTGTCCGGCAGTTTCAGGTGATATGCCTGGCCAGGGTCTGCGAATCACCGCGGGCTTGACGTTGGCAGGGGCCCGAGCATCGCTGTCCTTGAATGTTTAGCCGCACGGCTCCCTTGCATGCATCTACGGAGGATATCTTTGCATAGATTCGGCTGTCTTAACTTACCTCGCCCCAAGGACTGGTTCCAAGTCTTTGTGCAGAAAGCGGTCCGGCGGGTTGGCACGGAGGTCATGGGCTTCTTCATGGCCCTGCTCGAAGCACAAGGCTGCTAGAATTCGGGCCCTCCCCGACGCTTCGAACTCGAAGACTGAGGGACGGCGCTCACGTGCGCAAGCAGCGTAGCTCGGAGGACTGCTTGGGGCTTGGGGTGTACAGAACGTTGAATCTTCGTCTATAGCTGAGACGCTTGAAACCGCTCAAAGCGTTCGAGCGTTCCAGAAATTGCTAGAAGCCCGGTGCCTCTTCAGGGGCTTTCCGCGAAGAGGCCCTCGTTGCAGGAGAGGTCCTGCTCTCGCCTCCAAGAGGCGAGCAGAGCATCGCCAAAAGAGAGAGGGCATACGGCATACCTATAAGGATATCCTGAAGAGCTTACGATGGCTCTTTCTTGTTGCATGGTCACGGCGAGTAGGGAGGAGGCCGGCTAATGTAGCAAGTGGGCTCAAGCCTGGACCATGGGCCAGGGAGCCCAGCAGATGTAGCTTGTCGACACCTTCAAGAACTTGCTGAGGGGCCATCCTAACCTGCGCCATGACTGCTTGCTGCTGCCCCGACAAGGTCTTGCAACTCTTGCGGAGCCCTCGGGGTGGTAGTCGCCGGCCTTCTCAATTCCTGTCGCAAGCGATTAAGAGACGAGTGCTGAGAGAACGCGCGGGCACACAGGACATTCATACCTTGCTGCTGTGTCCAGATCCAGCTCGACGCCTCAGCAATTGTTACCACTCTGCAGTCCCCTTGGGGGCAGGGGGATTCGGGCAAGTCTTCCGAATGGAACACAACTTGACCGGAGAGATACGAGCGATCAAGCTCATCCGCAAACCTGAAGAAATCGAGGAGTTGCAGCGGATCTTGAACGAAGTTTGTGCACTTCTTCAATTGGACCACCCTAACATTGCAAAGCTTTATGAGTATTTTGAGGACCGCAAGGCCATCTATGTGGTCACTGAGATATGTACAGGCGGCAACTTGGGTGACCTCGACCCACTCGTGGATGACATTGATGAAATTCGACTTCTGTTCCGTGATGTCACGCGAGCAGTGGCGTACTGCCACTCTGAAGGCATCGCGCACAGGGACCTGAAGTTCGAAAACTGCTTGCTTACGGAATGCCGGGGCAGGCGGACAGGTCGCATGGCGAAGGTCATAGACTTCGGCCTTGCTAACATGAAGCGGGCCGGAAGCACAGCAAACTCTTGGATGAACGAGGTAGTGGGTACCCTATATTTTCTAGCGCCGGAGGTGTTAAAAAGTCACAATCCCTTGTACAGCTATGGCTTCGAGTGTGACCTTTGGTCGCTCGGGGTCATGATTTTCTTTGTTCTGACCAATGAGCACCCCTTTTGCAACTCCGCCTCGGGGCCTGAAGACGCCTACCAGCGCATTACCCGGGGCCCCCTACGCGCGTCGTATTTAAAGGCCGCCGGGGTCTCCGAGGATGCCGAGCGCCTCGTGAAGCTGCTGCTGGCCAAGGAGCCGCTAAATCGCTTAAATGCCCAGGAGGCTCTCAGTGAAGCCTGGCTCCAGTCTCCCGAGGGACTCAGCGATGTGGAGAGCGAGAGTTCCAACTCGCCCTTCCACCTGCCGGCCAAAGCTGATAAGCTCAAGTGTCTTCTAGAGCGTATCCTGTCCTATTCGAAGTTCTCCCGTTTCGAACGTGCCCTCCTGACCGTCGCTGCACACGAGGCGAACGGTAAAGATGTCGAGGAACTCACTTCGGTGTTCACAGCCCTCGACTCTTCCAATTCTGGCTGGATCACTCGAGATACCTTTCGCTCTGCTCTGGCATCGGCGGGCCTGCGTATCCGAAGCCCGGAAGAGGATGATGTTCTCAGCGCCTTAGACCCTGACATGGACGAGAAGATCCAGTACACGGACTGGGTCGCGGCAACAATGAAACCAACACAGATCACATCGGACAAGAGCGTTGAGGAATTGTTCAGCTTCTTCGACTTTCGAGGCAAAGGCCAGATAACGCTAGACGATTTGAGCCAAGTTCTGGGCCAAGAGATGGCATGTCACGTGGCCATACAGGCGAATGCTGACGAGGAAGGCATAGTCTCAAAGAAGAGCTTCAGAACCTTCATCCTAAATGCCATGGCGAAGCTTGAACTTCAAGTTCAACAAGACCACAAATCACGGTGTACAGTTGCAAGTGAGGTTCCCGACAGTCCTGAGGTTCTGGCCCCAAGGGGCCGCCCATGCATACCGTCTTGATCTGATGTTTCTGGGCGCCTGGCCTGTGGGCTGCGCAGAATGTCTTTTGTCTTTAACTCGCTCCCGCGTCAATTGCGGACCTGTGGAAAACTTGCTGTGCCTCCCGGGCGGGGAATGAGCCCTGGACTCTCACAAACATCTCAGACCACAAAGCCTCCGAACAGCCGGCAGTAGGAGCAGACAGCTATGTTGAGAATCCGAATCTTTTAAGAAGTCAACCTACACCAGAGGTTACTGTAAGTCGCCATGCTCACTTCTGAGGCCGCACATCGCGAAAGCAAGACTCATTACCTGTCACGAGCACACAACTGCTGGGAGCGAAGCGAAGATGAAAGAATGGGACCCTGTCTGCTTCTTATCGCATGTGCGAATCATCTCTTCTTGAGGTGCAGCCCGTGGTCCTACAAGGACGTGACTTCTGAGCAGAATGAAGTGAGTCTCCCAGTGCTCCTTACGACGCTGGGTCGTATGCACCCAATGTTTGAAAGCCCTTAAACCTGGGGCAGCTCACAGCCTCGTCGCCTTGTGCTCTGAGCCTCTGCAGTTTCTCAGAATCTCCAAAGGCTGAAGGTCATGCAGCACAACTCTACATATGTCAGCAGCTTGGGCATCAGTTGGCCTGCAGCACACGCACCCGTTTCACCGGATCTCTAAGAGAACGGCGGATTGAGGTGACAGCATTGTGCAATCGTGAAAGAAAGACACCATTTAAAGAGTAGGTCTCTTGAAGCGGACGCGTTCCTTTCAGTTGTTGTTGCTTGCGAGGTGTTGGGTCAAGGTGCCGATTCAAGCCTAGACGTGGGTTCGGACTGATGAGATGACCAGTGCCAATCTACTCCTAGATTTTCGATACCATGTGCGGAGTGGTTGGCTCACAGGAGCAGATGATCCAAGATCCACTTCTCACGAAAGTTAGACCAAACAGTCTGGAGTCTGGTGCAGCCTCATCGACCTGACCCATGTACGCCCATGTAGGGGGTATGCCTGGCCTATGGTGAGCAGCATTGCGTGGCAGAGAATCCGGAGGCCTCCACCTGCAATCTGGAACAGGTCTGCGAGGGAAGACTGAATACACTGTCAGCTTTGGCGAGGAATGCGGGGAAAGCGCAAGGCTTCGTCCGGCAGGTCGCTGCAATCGCTTTGTCTGTCCGCCATCGGTCCAATGCAGAGTTAACAAAGAGCACGAGAGAAGCACTTCGTGCTCCGACGGGAACCCAGACCTTCCAAAATCCCTTAATTAAGGATTATACCTTAAATGAGAATAGGATCCTTAATATGATTTAAGGTATATTCCTTAATAAAGGGATTTTGGAAGTTCTGGGAAGTCGCTCCTACAGCGCGAAGATGATGCGAGAAGAGTCCACAGCATTCAGCAAAATGGCAGGAATCAAGATCAAGGCCTGCAGCTGGTCCCTCAAGTCCAGCCAGCAGCATGCTGAGCTGTTTTCCTCGCCGCCCCGTTGCACATCATGCTGCACATCGAAAAAGGAACTTGCCATCGCTCTGAGGTCAAAGTTGCAAGGACGACTCGGCAGGAGGTGGGCTAGATGCTGGACTCGCTGGGTGTATCTGGGTGGTCTGAGCAAGTTCACGCAGAGATGTGAAAACCCGTCCACTCGAGAGAACACAGCATTGATCCTTCTCAAGCGGCTGTAGCGCGGAGGCCCAGCAAGAAGCCGCCACCCGTGCTGGCGACACCGTGCCGCATGGCCCTCGTAGTGCTTGCCGGGTGCTGATTTCGGAGACAGAACCAGAAATGCTGCCAGAGGCGGGATGGTAACATTGAAGAAACAGCAGATGGTCGCTGGGAGGTAGCGAAATTTTCTTTGCTGACCCTCCCTGCATGTCTGTGAAGTCGCACTGTTCTAGAAGCCAAGAGGTGCGGCTGTCCGACCTGCCAAGTGGCACCAGCTGCTGCCCGAGCTGATGACTGATTGCTTTACACGAGCTTTGCGGGTGCCCCCATCTCTGTGGCAAGGGTCACATTTCCCGAAAGCGCAGCAGAAGGGTTTGAATCAATCGTTGGGCGAAGAGCGTTGCAGTTTGTGGTTTTTGGGCACTCAGTTCCTGGCCTGGCGATCCCTATCCACAGCCAAAGTGACTATTTGCTTCGTTGGGCTTCTGGGGTCTGCGATGCTGCAAGCACGAACCTCAACTCAGAGACCCCCAAAATAGTAATGCAAAAAACTCAGTTATGCAATTCGCCCGCAGGCTGCTTCAATAGATGAGCACTTTCTCGTCCCCTTTTGACAAATTGTCATTCCCCCAAAAGCTTGCCGCAAATTGCAGTTCCACGAGTCTGCGACTCAGGTGCCAAGAGCCTCCGCGCTTTCCTTGGTGATGAGGTGGTGCGGTTCCAAGTTCAGCCCCCCTCTGCCGAGTTACATGACTCTCGATCGAGCCTTTTGCAGGAACACTCTTCGGTGCGACTTGACGCAGAAGCAGGTGCCCCCCCCAAGTTGGATCGCTCCGACAGGAAGGAAAAAATCCCACTTCAGAAGCCAAGGCCAGGCAGTCATAGCTTTGGCGACAAAAGCGAGTCCGGGTCCCAGAGAGCCAGAGGAATGTCAGCGATGCCCGCTTCCCTGAGTCAGAGTAAACACGGCCAAGGCGCTGAGTCCTGTCTGCGACGTTGGGAAGGATTCGCCGCTGCGATGGGTTCTGCTCTGGCCTCATGTACTTCACAAAGACACATGTCGATTGCAGTGTTCCATGGCAAGGTTCCGAAGCGAAGACGTGGAAATAGGCCAGGACATGCTGCATGCTGTCAGCCGCGTCCGTTTCAAAATGTGATAGCATGCAGACTTGGGCTGGTCACGAAGCCTGTGCTTGCTTTCATGCTTCGCTCCCAGCAGCTTCTCTCAAGCGTGGTGCGCCTGCCGGTCCCCTCCTCACATGCTCGAGCCCGTGACCTAAGACTTCGGATCACTGCGCAAACCTTTGGCAACGAGAAGAGCGGTACTGTATATGTCGCAGGCCAGATGCAGCGCCTGCTCGACGCAGTCAGAGCGAAGCGCAGCCTTGGAGCAAATTGGGTTCCAACACATGTTTAGTGAACGGTTAGTGGTCCGACTGCCGCTTCGGGAATGCTAATCTGAGGAGGGATGTCGAGCGAGCTAGCCTGGTAGGTTCGCCGGCACTCGAACCTCATCACAGAAAAAGCATGGTTCCCAGGAGCATGTTGCGGAGTGAGTGTGGCATCATTGATAAGGAAGTTGACCAGAAGCAACTGCAGAAAGAGCGTGTGGCGAAAGCGCGGCAGACCATCACTCAAGATCGTGTTCGGCAGCTCGTTTCAGCAGTGTCGATATGTCCGGCTATCGGCAAGCATCGAGCCGATGTCGCACGTGTGTCTGCCGCAGCTGCAATCCACCGCGAGGCAAGCTCGCTCACAGAGCCACAGGGTCTCAGCTTCTGGTGGAGAGAGGCTGCAGCTTGTCTGCCTAGCATTCATGCTGTCCCAGATGATCCTTCGCAGCTCTGTCGCCGAGGGAGTTCGAATCTGTCCTGGTCTCTTTCGTGTCTCGGCAAGATTCGAAGAACCAGGCGACATTTCATCTTCTCGGAGCTGTTGCCAGATGTCCAACCGAGAATGCCACTCAAGGTCGAGTCCGATGTCTTTGAGCTCAGCATTGGACTGGTCATCATCTTCAGCACCGTCACCATGACACTGGAGGCCACGCATCCAGACTTCTCATAGCAATGGACCCGCTTTGCAATCACTTCTGGGCTTTCAGGTTGACCAGGTAGATCTGCCAATGCTGATCAACTTCTCAGAGAGCTTCTTAACCGCTTTCTTTCTCCAAGAGTCTCGGCGCGGCGTTTCTGCTAGAAAAGAGTGAAGGTCCTTTAAAGAGCAGGCTCGCGTTTACGGGACCCAGAAGTGAAACGTTTCAAGACACGGCGGCTCAGGAATGGATCACCCGCGTGGCGGTCTACGGACTGCCCTGGTTCCGCTCTATGGAGAACTTGCTGGACACCTTCATCGCCCCTAGGCTGCTATTATGTGACGTTTCGCAGAGCAAGGTTCAGACGATGGCTATCACATGTGCTATTGTGAGCTTGGCTTGGCTATAGACAGTAAGCACTGGTATGTGCATGAACTGAGTCATCAGCGTCCTTGTAATTTTATTCTTATGGTTTTGCCATTCTCCGAGGTCTGGGTTCCTGGAGTGCTGACCGTATGGTTCTTGCAGCCCATTTTCTCCGGTTCAGCAGACTTCCTGACGCCGTGCCTGTTTCAAGTGAGTCAGACATTGCGAGGGAGGGCCATATTCAGAGAGAAGACGTGTGTAGACGGTTCCGCAACTGAGGAAGACGATCCGGATCGTGCGAATGCTGCGTTTGCTGAGATTGGCCTTTCGGTTAAATCGGATTTGCTGTACCTGTTGAGTCATCATGTCATTGCTGTGCAAGTTTAGCGTACATCATCACCACAAGGTAAAAGTCTTTCGGTGCCTTGGATTGCACGTTCAGACCCAATCGTCCATACAGGCCATGTCGTGCATCAACGTGTGTTCTTTTCGGGACAGGAGCCTTCCGGTCATGCAAGATCTCTGGCAGCTCGTTCGCGGGCTCCTGAAGAGTGGCGGCAGCGGGGATGCAATCGCTGGTGGCTGCATTTCACGGGTTTTGGCAGTGGGATTGAGCCGGACTTGCGCAAAGCACGTCGTTGAGGCACACTCGCTTCTGCAATGACTCTTATCGTCTTCACTCTGCCCCTGGGCCACGAAACTGAGAGCTGTAGACGGTGAAGCCGACACCTTCCTTCCCGAGGTTTGTTTTTGGCATCGCAGCCGTTGATCTGATTGCCAGAGCCGACTACAGTAGTGCGGAAGAAGTCATCGGCTGAGAGATGACGAGTTCTCGGGCAGCTTCCGTCCTGCTGCGCTTTCCCGAGGACTCGAAGGTGGCGCAGTCTCGCTTCTTTGGCCAGGGCCTGTGGCATCGGTTATGTAACACAGTGGCATCATGCGAAGCTGGGGCTTGCCAAGCTGCATTGTCTTGTTGACCGGGAGGCATGTGCTTCTCCCTGTCAGGCCTTTGGTTTGCCATGCTGACGTTGACAAGGTCGGTCGTAAAGACTCTGATCAAGCCCATGTTGTTGTTGGATTGCGTGCAATACATCGTCAGGTTCATGCACGGTGATGATGCACAGGGCATCATGGATGAGCTTACTGTACAGCAACCCTATATCTGGTTTTCGCCTGAGCTGTGCTTTGCCATTTCTTGCGGGCGTCACCAGTGCATTTGGCAAGGATATTCCTCTGGACTTTCGCAGCCTGTGCATCCTTTGCTTCTTGTCCGAACACTGTCCTTTCATGTTATGTGGCGGTGGACTCCATAGTCCAATCTGCTGGCGTTTCGAAACAGGCTTCGAATCTCCTACAGTGCCACCATAAGCTCTGGCTCCCGAGATTTCAAGGATCCAAGCCCTAAACTTCGACGCGAAGCCCCTCTCTTGACCCAAAGTCTGCTGTCACCAAGTTCTGAGAGTCGAAAGCCCTGCTTGTGGATCTCAATCCGCCCGACAATGCAGATGTCCGGTAGTGACGCTTGACCGGTAACTGGGAGCTCGGAGCTTCTGAGCCCTTTTGAGCCGAGGTCCTGTTGAATTTGGTCACGGCCATTATTTGCAACGAGGCCTTCGAGACTTCAAAGGCTGATGAGGCGGATCTGGCCAGGCAGCCACCTGTTTCAATGCTGCGGCAGTCTTCGTCTCCTCCCTTCTTCCAACAGCGCACGAACATCGAGTAAATACGTGTTCGTGCGCCTATACCTGTATCTACACACGCATACATATGCATATTTATACACACAAATGCACGTGTATACGTATAAGTATGTGCACGTTTGCACGTTTGCACGTGTGTTTGTTTGTTTGCTTGCTTGCTTGCTTGCTTGCTTGCTTGCTTGCTTGCTTGCTTGCTTGCATGTATACAGAGCTGCATATGCGCATAAGCAGCTTCCTGTTGTGAGACATGCTGTGACAGATCGCAGTGGTTTTCGGAATGGATGCGATGGTGTGTGTTGTGCATCAATGTGTTTTTGTTACTGCGTGTGCGAGTCCGGAAAGGCTTTGTTTGTTGCTGAGTTAGTGCTGGAAGCACGTCTTGTGCTTGTCAGCTTGTCAGTCGTAGGTGTTCTTTGTATGCAGAAAAGTGTGCACGCCTGCTAAGCCAAATAGCAGGCAACAATGCACAAACACATGTATAAAAATATGCAGATCAAAGCACAGCCATACCTGCATACTGCTTTGTGGTGGTGATTCAGTGGTGATATGAAGGCGTGGTCACCCCTCTTATAATCTTCTGGGAGGGTTTAGGGCTGGGCGCAACTCCGAGGTTGAAGCTACAGAAAGAGCAGGAGATGCGCGAGTTCAAGGACGGGGTCTGGGTAGGCAACTTCGGTCATGGCTAAGCCATCGTGAAGTGTGTACGTATGTATATTGTATATATATATATATATACATACATATGTACGTATGTACGTAAGTATGCATGTATGTATGCACGTATGTATGTATGCATGCATGGTTGTATGCGCACATGCACACATGCAAACCATGGCGATGGGAAGAACCAGGCTTCGGGCTCTGCTGACCTACTGACGCTTGCCATCATCTGACGTACAGGACATGTTCATCGAGCTTGATGAAGACGGGAGCGGACAGGTGGGGCATAGTGGGGCCTTGACGGCTTTTTCATCGTTCGGTGAGCTTTCACACCTCGAGGTGACCCTGGACGAGTTCACCAATGCGTTCGAAATAGATGCGACCTGTCTCACGACTTAGTGTGACTTCGGGTGAGTTTGTGTCACTCCTATGTTCAGTCTCTTGTGCTCTGCCTGCGTTGCCCACAGAGCGTCCGCAACAAGCTCATCGTCATGGGGCTCACCGAAGATGCTTTGTTGCAGCTTTTCACCCTGTTGGATACAGAGACTTGGATGCGCTAGGTTGGGGCGGGCCAGGGGAAGGTTATTTTCATTGCCGTTGACATCCCAGCTCCAGTCTGCTCTGCAAGGATGGTGAGGGTGAGCTCAGCCTGGCATCTTATCCAGCAATGGAGAAGTAATACCTTCAGAAAGCAATCTAGAAATCTGAGCACGTCTGGGCCAGTTTGAGGACGAGTTCATGGGTGGTATGCAGTCTCTCTCCGGCCTCGCAAACGCCAAAGATATGGTGCTTGGGCCGACACTGACAGTGTTTTTGCCGGCCACCACCGATTCCGCGTCTCAGACCAAATTGTGTGTTCCTGGTCTGCTGACCTGTTCCGTGACTGAGGTGATATTGACGAAGGGCTTGGAGAGAATTGAAAAGCAAGTTAGCTTGCTATTTCAGGGATCCCTCTCGAGCGGCGCCTCGGCAAATTCGAGTCGCCTTTCACGTCCATAGTTCGTAGAGTATATTGTAGTACACAGTATGTAGTATTTTTCCATCATGATATATAGTACCCTAGTATACATTATGGAATATACTCTATGTGGAAACATCCCTGGAGAGCAGGCCTGCCGACTCAAGAGATGCTCCAGAGCCAAATGACCCAGGCGGATTCAGTTCCGGACATTCTGGGTTTAGAGTTTGGCGAGCATCTTGCCGGCATACAATCCAAGCCCGTGCTCAAAAAGGGAGGTTTAGGGTTTAGGTGCACTCCGCAATTGTCATGCCTGCTCCCCAGCTGATAGCAAAGAGCCTGGGTTCAAAAAAAGGGAGGCACCTTCACATGGCAACCTGCAGTGCCCTGACAGGTCCGAGTAAAAATCGATGATCGTTTCCGAAAAACGGAGACATCTCTGAAGGACGTGGTTCGGCGCGGGCGGCCACGGCTGTCTGAAATCTCTGCATCTGCGCATCAAACTAAACTTGAATGGCTAGGTTTGCGAAGGAAGCCGACCGTCCCAGCATGTCGCTGCCCACTGCACTTGCAGTTGATGCCCGAGCTGGCAAGCCGAAGGACTTGACAAACCAGCTGCAGCGCATCAGCGGAAGCAGCCAGGCAGCGCAGATTTCATCCCTGGCCCATGGATTGTCGGAAGCCGTGACAGCGCAGGCGGCAACCCACAAAGGCACTGCCAAAGTCAAAGCGAAGAAGAAGGTGCGCGCAGCGCGAAGATTTCGAGATTGCAAGAGCTACTGATGTAAGCGGTGAGTCAGGTCGTCAAGATGCCGAAGGCATCGATAATGACCTCGTCGTCAGGCTGGGCCACTGCCCGATGCCATGTTCCTGGCAACATGCAAGCATCACCTCGCGCAACAGCTGGAAGCTCAAGCATCTGGCCTGCAGGCGAAGGGGACGAAAGGATTTGAGTGCCACGCTGTTCGGGAGCAGCATGGCAGCGCGTGGCGTTGACGTGTTGCTCGTGTAGCAGCTGTGGCCGGCAAGGCTGTTTTGCAGTCACTATGTTAAGCAGACCATCCATGCAAGCAACCAGCCTTGGAGTTGCCAGATGGCTTCTTTGCCGAGTGTCTTTAATTAGTGATGGTGCTGACGCACATGTGCCAAAGGCCCACAAGAGTCTACAAGATGTCCTTCAATTCTCGCGTCAGTGCTTGTGGCCTTCTTTAGTCAGGAAAACGGTAAAATCGGGTGGGTGGCAGGAGTGCACCGTGCCACACTTTAGGCTATGCCTCGATCAGCTTGCCCCAAGGGCTGCTGCTCTTTATGTGCAGTGTAGCTTCGGCCTTCGTACCCGTGTGCAAAACGCGAGCGGAGGGCACAGGGCGCATGGCAGGCTTTATTGTAGGCCAACATCCCAAACCTTAAAGTCCTAAGATTTCATGCGCATAGCTGACACAATAATGTCTTGTGCCCAAAAAAGCCAGGCAAGGCGGAACACCGAGGCAGAGGGTGGACTCTTGGGACTCTTGGGCCTGGCAAAACGGCGCAGCCCGAGCCTCAGGGTTTCCTGGCCGTTGCTTCTGGTATGAGTCTCAGTTTCGTATGCTAGTTCAATTCTCAGTATAGTATGCTAGTTCAATAGTCTAGTCTAGTTTGCAGTTGAGTATCGCATCGTACAGTGCAGTATCACTTTCAGTCTTCCATAGTATAGCATGGGCGACTGTGTGAGTGTTTTGCAGGATCATGGGTTGGGCAAGTGCTGGCCATGCTAAGGCACAGACGGACGAGTCTGGTGGCGCACCTGTGCAGCACGAGCCCATGGAGTCAAGGGGCTTCTCAGAATCTGCGCAACCGCCAAGAATTATGGAGTAACGATTGCACGGGGCAAATCTCGGGTGCCAGGACGATGATGCAGGCCAAAGCACGTCTGCTGGTGCTGCCCGCTGGGTTTAAGGAAGTTGTGTTCCGGATATACTTGCGATTTCCAACTTTTTCGCGAGGTCAGAAGGCCTCTTCCTCGAAATCTTCGAAGCAAGGCAGTGCGCACCCCTATCGTGTCTGCATTCCTGGCGACAGACCAAATCTGTCATCCACAAGCAGTCAGACGTGTGGCCACAGCTAAGGTTCGGATGCCCTTCAACCATTGATCAGGACCGTAGTCAGGGACGTCCATGTCACCTGTCCGGTCTTTCGAAATATCATCGGCCAACCCCAAGGCAAGCACACGGGTTTGGGTTGGTTGCGGGATGCTTCAGTCAGATTACTTTCATGCACATCAGAAGCGGCCGTTGCCGAAAATCCCCTACCGGCCCAAGCACCAGGAAAATCGCTGACTTCGCCTCCCGCAGACGTTTGAACGACGTCGTCGCCTTATGGGGCATCATGCTCTCTGGGGTGCGAGAGGAAGACGTCGTCGCACCATGCCCCGAGAAGCCATCCTGAGGCTGTCAGAACCTTCGAGCAGATCGAAAAGCGAGGGCTCGAGCCGAGTTTGGCCTTCAGACATGGGAGTTTCCGAAAAGAAGGGGTGCTACCTTTTTTTTTGGGTCCTTATAATAAGGATCCTACTATTTAGGGTGCTGTATCAGGGTCCCCTATTTTCGGAAAGCCCAACATGGCTTCATGATTCATGCCTGTCCAGAAGACGGCTGGCTTGTGTGTCGAACAGCCTGAGGCGTGCAAGCCTATGCAAGCCTGATCAATGCATATGTCAACAGTCTGGCGCTCAACAAGTCAAGCCGGATCATTTTGCCATTTAATTTGATCCAACACAACTGTTCGCAAATGGTTTGGCTAGCCGATCTATGGGCTCTACCATGACTTAGGCATCCATGGAAGTTCGTTTTTTTTCCTTGGCATTGGCAGCTCAATGTGTCATTTGCCCAGGTGGTGATATGGCTGGAGCTGCCAAGGGCCAAGTTTTGCCGTTCAGCCCTGGCGGCGGACCGACCCGGCCAAAGGACTCGGCATTTTCGCGGATGCTGGCGGCTGGACTTCGGTCGAATGTGGTAGCCACCATGGGCAAGTTTGCACCGGTGCAATCGCACAAGCTTCATGCGGCAGAGTGGCAGGTCTGCACTGCGTTGCTGAAGGGTTACTGCCGGGGCCCCTGGGCTTCCCGGATTCTGCCTTCTGTGACTGAGCAAAGCAGGTCGTTCTGGCGATGTGCGGAGAGCACAGTCCGCCAAGCTCTGAGCTTCATCTTGCGAGAACGTCCATGATAAATGGCTGTGTAAAACAGGTGCCGCTACTGGGCTGAAGAAGGCAAGGGTGTAATTCGGACTGTCCTGCGGCATGGCCTAGGTGCTTGAGAAGATGTCTGGCCAGGAGCCTCCGGCAGCAGCCTAATCTCGATGAGAAAGTTGTCACATGCGCTTATATGGTCACTTGATCAGAGCGCATGCTGTGTCCGAAGCCACGAGCACTCAGACTTTGGCTTAATAGGGAATAGGGCGTGCCTCGCCCCAAAGCTTTGCCAGACACATGTCGAAAAATGCTCAGCGAAACGAGAGGACCGACCACCAGGTTCTCGCTTTGAAGCCACACCTTGCAAGATGCCTGATAGGAGAAAGGCCGCCAAAAAGGAGCAGGCCGCTGCATGTTTTTTGCCGGGCATTCTTGCCGTTGAGTGTGACGATCGAAACCCCAACCGATACCAAGAACTACAGTGCTGAACTTTGTACTAAAGTGTATGGGGTCCCGACTGTCACAGACTGAACCAGCTCTTCTTATATGTCGGGTTCGAACCCGTCGAGTCTCTGCCCTATGGACTCTTCGACACCAAAGTCCGAGCGTGTGCAGGTACCCCAGGCGACGTAATTGGTCCCAACACAAATAGGGGGTACCTTATTGGGGGTCCTTATAATAGGGATCCTACTATATTAGGGTCCCCTATTTTCGGAATCCCACGAACCGGAAAGTCGAAACCCACCGAGCGCAGAGACTCAGACCCCGGATCGTACTCTCACGAACTTCGCGTAAGACTTGTCTTTCCTTTCTCGGGGCTTCAGGATTCCTTACTTGCAAGACCTCGCGTCCTGCAGATGGGGACTTTTGTGAATTCATGAGGCCCGGGCCGATGAAACGGCGGCCGCTGCAGCGTCAGGAGCTGACACTGCTACGACGGTACGGTTTCTTCGGGTCTCACGCATTTCAGGATCTGACGGATCTGATTGCTCATGCTTTGGGTTTAGGGTCCAGGGGTTGTAGACGATGGGACACAGGGTGATAGATCAAGGGTTGCTGGCATCCGCGATCCGCGTGTGTCATGTTTGGCTTGGGTACGATACCTGTTTCAGGGGCTGGGGGCAGACTGCACAGGCGCTGTGCTTCCAACTCAAGCAACTGAGACATGTGAGACATATTCGTCGTCAAACTTAAGTTCTTGAGCCTATCTATCTAATCCAATGTAAGGCTCAAACCAGAAGCCTCACCCCGATCACAAAGCTGAGAGGAACACACAGTAGTACCTTGAACGAGCTTTTTGACAACTCTGAGGGGCCAGCGGCGTAATCAAGGTCGCGTAGCAAAGCACAATCCCCCACTTTTCGTTCAGAAAATCTGCAAACTGCGGCCTGGGGTCCGAGAGAGCGAGAGTACCAGCAAGAAACTTCTCGAGGACCCAAGGCCACAGGCAGCTTCGAAGAGCTGCAAGAGTGTCCTGGCACCAAACTGTTGCAGTACTGCCGACTAAGCAGGTGGATTAGGATGCCGCATGCTGATGGCATTATAGAGGGTGGTCTGGCATAACATCGCACGATCGATATATTATTATATATTATTATATATATATACACACGTATATATATATATATATATATGTATGTATATGTATACATATGTATATATATATATAATACCTGAGATCGTAGGACACGGTATGACATAGTATCATAAAACATGTCTGCTCCTACTCAATATGATGTCACATCAGATTTCCTTGTTAGGCTCTGCTCTCACAGCATATCGAACCAGTTTTTGTGCATCGTTCGGCTCGCAAGACTGCTACAAAGGCTTGGCAAGTCTTTGTTCCTGGGTTCATGCGCGGCCATGTATGCCGGATGCTTAGCAGCTTCGCGAATCCGTGTCGATGATGTACACAAAGCACATGGCCATGACTCGGATCTATTGAGGCCCCAAAGTTGCCAGACCTGCTGAAAGAAGATGGCAAGGTGAGGCCATGCAGATTTCAGTTCAAGCAGGTGGTTCCATGGCTTGCAGGAGGCAGAACCCGCGAAAACCACCGATGAGTCCGAGAAGGACAAGCGGCAACAGAACATGAGGTCTCTGGCAGGTTTGGAACAGCGGAAGGCGTCCGGATGCCCCTTTGTGTCTATAGAGGACTCCCCAGAAACTGAGCCGACAACTCCGTCACCAGAGGCCTATGCGGCCCATGCGTGCATCGATTTGTTTGAATAATCTTGCTTATTGTTATTATTGTTCTTATTTTCAGTTGGACTATGGCTATGATCATGACTATTATCTTCTCCACTGTTGTAATATAGGCTGTGGGCTGCATGGCCAGGGCTCGGCAGCGATCTTCTCCAGCTTGGGTGAGCGCCTGGCGTGGCATAACTGCCTCGGCTTGGCGAACCCACAGACTGGCGAGGCTCCGTTACGCTCTTGCCTACGATTTTTGTCTATCAGTGCCATCAATATCCGAGGAGGCGATGCAACGGTGGAAGGCGCTGAGCCAGTTGGAGATGGATTTTGGGCCGAAGAAGTCCAAGCGTGGGAGCCCGTCATGGGACAGGACCCGGCGCAAGCCCATTGCATTGCCTGACTCGACGTTAGAGGGTCTGGAAGCAGAGCTTTCAGTGCCCTGCGCACCACTTCAGCAGCTGAGGCTTTCAGGCTTCGCATCCGGAGAATGAACACTGGGGACAATTGCATAGACGTGTGGCACTGTTGTCATCCCTGTTTTGGTGCAGGATTTTGGCCAACCTCTGTGGGAACTTGCCGCACCTTGGCGAGCCAAGCTGCGCTTTCAATGGCACCGGCTGCTGCCGTCATGCGAGTTTAAGCCTTGAAGACCGCCCTCAGCCTCAGGCAGTATCTACACATTCTACTGGTTCGTTCCCCGGTTGTTCGTCGCGATGTGTCTCGACTCTGAGAGTCTACAGCCTCCGAGGTGCTGGCAATGCTCCATGCCTTCCTTCTCCGATCTTATTTCGCCTGCCTGCCATGGCTGTTGGGCTGGCAGACCTTCGGCTGAAAGAGCACATGAGGACTCTTCGTACAAAAGTGAAAGCGGATACCAAGGATGGCGTCCTTATTGATTCCTCTAGAGACCATCCCCCAGGCGGGTATCCAGGATGTGTCGTTGACAGCGAGCCCAGCCGTAGCAGGTGCCACAAGTGCCACTTAGCCAGTGCCCTTTGAAGTTTCGTGATCGGCTCGGGCGAGATGTCTCAAGTACGGGCCATTTGGGACACTTGTCTCGGAAACGTTGTAAGCGTGCCCAGGCATAGCCGCCACTTTGGGCATCCACACATTGTTCCTGTTGTTTTTCGGTCTGGAGCAACTCGGCTGGATGCCTTCAAGACCGTGCAGCACCACGCCAAATCACACTTCAAGTGGCCAAGGCTAGTTTGGCGGATGAACTTCTTGGTGAAATTCCTCGTGATCGCCTTAAGAACCCCTACAAGTCCGAATCCAAACCACACGCGAATTCCTGCATTCTCACCGCTCGGAAGGTGCTTGGGCTGATCATTTTCCACGCGCATTCTGTGAAGCCGGCTGCCGCGTAATCACTTGGACGAGTGTCTGCGCTTCCACCACAAGCTGCCAAGCCATTTACAAAGCACTGAACGCGCACGAATCCTTCAAGCGCAGGCCTGGTCAATCGCTTGCCCCTATCGGTTGCCCAGTCAGAAGTTGGCTGACATTTTGCACCGCCGGGCAACCTCCCCCTGGGGCTGCAGTTGTTTGCTTTAGCAACTTTAACTGCTTGACCAACTCGCTGAACAATAGTCAGCACTGGAGAATGGATCACTTTGTGCCAGACTCATGCCGCTGCACTTTGCAGAGGAAGGAAGATGTCGTGAGACAATTGCCGGTCTGCTTTTGAATTTCAGGCGTGGTGACCATGCACAAACACTGATTCGAGCCTCAGGTCAAGCCGGACTTACGTTCTGAGCTTATCCGGAAGAGTGTATGGCAGGGGCTTGCTTGGTTCTTCATAGTCATGCAAAGGCCTTGTCAACACGTTGCTTCGTGGCTGCGTCAGGGTCCATGCCTCGGTAGTGAAGTGCGATGTTGCCATGACATGGATGTAACATTGACTTGGCCATGCGCATGTTTTCATCCCGGCTCGTGACTGCACAGCGGCTTGCCTGTAAGCTTGTTCAGCTTCAGGCCGGCGACCTTGCAATAGCCGAGCTTCTGACTCAGCACGATTGCTCTTGCTCATGCGACGATCCCCGTACGTAAGCGATGCAAGTGCTTCGTGCCGAGGTCCGTGTTTCGAAGACTCCCTGAGTGGGAGCTGTCGCCAGACGCCAGAGACCTCTGGAGCAAGGAGCCGGCGACGTTTTGCGGTTTAGGGCGCCCTGAAGGCTTCATCTTGCTGCTTCATGTCGCGGGACACCCAGACTCTGGGCCCCACCGAACGGGACTCGGTTGACGTGGCTGTGGTGGAGCTGCAAGTCCAGGACGTTGCTGGGCCAGGCCCTGCTGGTCAAGAAGGTCCCCTGCATGCAGCATGTTGTGTGTGTGTGTATGCATGTGTACTTTGTGTACTCGTGTATGTTGCAGTGTTTAGCTGTGGACTTGCACAGATTGCAGCGCTGCTGCGACTGCCGGCCTTGGCCCCGCTCTCAGCGTCGCAGCGGCCGCAGGCCACGTGCACGCGCCTCCGTGCGCTCCACTCAGACTCGTTGCAGCCGAGGCTCCAGCTCCAGCAGGTCCAACCGGAGGCTAGCTGGCTGTGCTGTAGTGGGGAGAGGGAGGGGGGGGGGCAGGGCGGCCAGAAAAATCCAGATCGTGCGCGGGTCCATGACCAGGACCCGAAGGCGGACCGTCCAAGAAATCGGAAGAAGCTTGCAGGTCGAGCGAGTGAGTTGAGATGAGATTGGCGGCATTGTGCGGTTCGTTGGCGGCCCCGTGACACCAGTGATATGCGCAGGTTTTGGCAGAAGGGAAAATGCAAGAAAGGTTCGCAGAGTTGTGCCTCAATCATTTTGGATGGCATGTTCTGCCTTCGTTGCAAGGTGTTGCTTGTCCTTTCTTTCACGATCCGGCAGTTGTCTGAATCTTGGGCACGAGGAGACGAAATACGTATGCGATTGATAGATCATTTTGTGAAGGAGGTTGCCCAGAGGGCTGCACACGAACCAGAAAGGCTTGCTGCCGTCACGCCCTCAAGGTTGCGCAGATGGTTCTGCAAGAGCGCATGCATGCAGTCAGCTTAAGCACGCTTCAGCATTTGTATACGAGCTACCGGGCTAGAAGGATGCAACCAGTGTTCGTCTACACTTCGTCCAGATTCTCTGGACCAACCAGACGTGATCAGCACTTGTGTTGATCGTGAGGTGGCATGCATTGGTGCGTGCCTGAGTGGGACGTTCCTACTCGAGTCCTTGCCTTGCAATGTTTTTGGTGGAGATCCTTAGGCCTGGATGAGGCGCGCGCGGCAGCATTGCTTAAGCGACCACTTGCTTGCAAGCGCGCGCTGCGAGCAGTGGAGAACGCCCTCGCGGCCGCCAAGGTGCGCTGATATCCAATTGAGTGCTAGCGAATTGGCGGCAGTGTTGTTCGACTTCGATGTAGTGGAAAAGCTTTGTGCCTGTCGCCTAACCGCCATCGGAGGACACGCCGAAGCTGCGCAGTTCATCAAAGGAACGACAAGACAGCATTCGGCGCGCAGCCAAGAGTCCGTTAGCATGCATAAAGAACCCCATTCCATTGCATAAAGAACCCCATTCCATTGCATCTGATGCCTGCACCTACATGCCGGGAAAGGGACGGAACACTATGGGACACTAAGGGAGAGGGAAGAGAAAGCGAGAGCGATGTTGAGAAGAAGAACAGAGACAAGCACATACAGCGGCCGAGTGCATCACAACTTCGGATGCAGTTGTGACAGGGTTGTTTGAACAGATTCAGGTTTTGCGAGCAAGAAGCCAGTGGTGACTTCAGGACTGTACTGGTCCCATGGCACCGGCGCATCCGCAGGCATTCTGGCCTACTGCGAATGGACTCTCTAAATCCCCCAAGCTTTGACATGGATTGACCTCTTCCCGCTTCTGGGCCGCAACAGGAATCCTTTTCGCAGTAGCCTTGAGGCGGCCTTGCGATCCAAGCGACAAACGGATTTGTGTTTTTCTGTTAAAGGTCTCTCTTTTTCGAACCGCATGGCATCGCCTGCGGAAACTGGATCCACCGCTGCGACAGATGATGAGCCACACGAGGCCATCCTTTTGAACCATGGTGCTTTCAATCCTGTCGCTTGACCTGCATTACGGATGGTCTTTGCGTCTATGTGTGAAAGTCGCTGCAGTTTTTATGCAACCATGTTGCAAAGGTACGCAGGCAGCACATTGACATGATGGTGCAGAGTCGGAAGCGCCTGGAGCAGGCAGGCTACAAGGTTGTCAGCGGTATCCTGGTGCCGGACTTACCTTGTACCATGTTCGGGCATGCACCTAAAAGCTCCCTGCGGTTGTAGCCCTTGAGCTTCAGCCAAGGCCCTGAAGAGTACAGAATTCATCAGGCGCAAGAAGGAAACCGCGGCAATTCTCAACGATCATCGCTTGGCTGCTTTGCATGCAGCTTGCAAGTCTGCAGATGGGCCACAGGGATGGCTAAAACCTGACGCCAAAGGAGTTTACCACAGCTCTCCGGGGCAGATGATTCAGACGATCAAAGGCAAGCATCCTGGTGCCACAGTTTTCAATGTGGTCGGGGCGGATTCCGTGGTGAAGCTTTGCAAAAACGGATCAAAATTCCTGCAGCCCATGGTGGTTGTCGGACGGGCTGGCTTCAACAACAAAGTTGTTCAGGAGACAGCCGAAAATTCTGAGGCAGCTGGAGTACCCGCGTATTACGTTGAGGAGCTTGCTGGCCTTGCCAGATCGACGGATGCCCTTCGAGCACTGGACGAAGCACAGGAGAGAGTTCATGTTCTTGGAATAGGCTGGTTTATGCAGGTATGCTGCAACCACGGTACAACATACATTACGTAAGAATATGAATAAATAAAGAAAAATAGAAATTAAATAAATAAATGTATATACATATATATTTACATATACATATTTGTATATGACTTAAGGACACATATGAATCTTTGTCACAACAAAGCCGGCTCCCCATTGTTTGTTGAAGCCTGCGGTCAGCAAGACAGGTGAGTGAGAATATGACCATCACCCCGCCTCACCAGCAGGGTTGGACGAGCGAAAATGTGCGCCCACAGAAACTGTGGGGGCTGGGGTCTGGAAGATCCTTTTACTGACGGTTTTGGTGAGAATGGAAGACGACAAGGATATCTTGAGTTGATTGTACCTGCTAAAACCCAATCAAGTCAACTGCCTGAAGAAAGAGTGATTGTGGCTCCCCCTGCACCAGCCACTAAACAACAACGACAACAACAACAACAACCAACAACCAATAGCCACCATGCAACAACAACACTCACCAACAACACCCAACAACACTCACCAACAACACCCGACAACAACAGCAACAACAACAACAACAACAGCACCAACAACAGCGCCACCACCGCCACCACCACCAACAACAGCAGCAGCAAAGTCATCGTCAACAATAAAAACAACAGCTGCAGCTGGAATAGAGTGGTGGTGGTCGTCGTCGTCGTCGTAGGCGCGGTACTTGTGGAAGTTGTGGTAGTAGTGCCAGTGGTGGTAGTGGTCATGGTCGCAGAATTGAAGTAGTGGTGGTAGCAGTAGCAGTAGCAGTAGCAGTAGCAGTAGCAGTACCAGTAGTAGCAGCAGCAGAAGTAGTAGTAGTAGTAGTAGTAGTAGTAGTAGTAGCAGCAGCAGCAGCAGCAGCAGCAGCAGCAGTAGAAGGTGCCGCCGGTTTTCTTTCGAATAGCAGCGTAGCCACTCTAGTATTGACGTGGCTGTAAAGCTACTTACAATCGTCACTAGCTCACGTATACGAAGGGGTTGTGAATCACATTAAGGCTTCCCACTACTAAGATCAACGCTTCAATGGCATTGACAATCCCGATAACACTGAGAACGACCTGGACAGAAATGACACCTTGCGGTTCTGGGGTTCCGGCATTTGTGACCTTCCCAGGATTCCCAGGATGAGAGCTTGAAAGCACTCGTCCCCGCGCCTGCTGCCAAGTACCTCTTGAAGAATCGAGATCTGCTTTTCGGTGACCACGTCCACAAGCATTCACCGCCCAAATTGACTCCTAGCGGAGGTGAGGCAGGAGACACTGCTTTGCCGAGAGGCGACGACCCGTCGGAGAAGAACACGTCGAATTCTGAGCACCCCCCGTTTCGGGAACAGACTCCCGAGAAGCTGACGAAGACCAAGCCACAGCAAAAGATCTTGAAAGCACAAGAGCAAGGGCCGCAGGAAGGTGGAGCTGGATACGCTTCTTTCAATGAGCAGACCGCCTCTCAACAGACAGTGTCCGGGCCAGTGCCGCAGCCACAAAGGGAAAGTGGTGGAAGCCTTTCGCAGACGATCCCTTATTCGGTGGGGCCATTCACCGGCGAGAGTCCTTTCCCGGGACGGCCAACCTTGGTTGTCGGCATTACAGGCGCTCCGTCAGCAGGCAAGTCGTCCTTGGCACAGGAGCTACAGTACATGCTATGGGAACGTTACGGAACCCGTTCGAATGTAGTAGTAGCACAGCAAGACTTTGACTTGGGCAACAAGGCAGGTTCGGGGGCGTGGTGGTGGGAGCGAAACCAGTGGTTGTCTTACTGGGAGTCCCCTGATGCTACTGACTGGGAGCAGATGGAGCGCGAGACGCTCGAAGCAGTCAAGCAGTATCCTATTGTGATTGTCGAAGGCCACTGCCTGTTTAGTTCAGAGCGATTGTACCGTTTCTTGAATTCCTTGATCTGGTTAGATGTAGATGAAGAAGGGTGCTGGGACCGCCGAGCCGAGTATCCTGGCGGATGGGAGCCCGCGCACTATTTCTACAAGTGCCTGTGGCCGGGCCACCGGGAACATATGTCTCAGGCCTTGGGAGTGCAGAAATCCGCGCCAGGATGTGATGGGAAGTCTGCAGACATCGGCCCAGCTCGTTCTTTGAGTCTCCATGGCTTGGACCAGCCATCTGCACTCCGGGAGCGAGCCTTGAAGGCAGTCCTCCGGTGGGCTTCCACGATGGCCCCAGCTCCTGCAAGTGATCTTGCACCTTCTGTGCCAACTGCAGTTGCTGCAGCGCCTCTGCTCATGCAGTGCCAATAAGCCTGCATTATATCGCGTCAACCCTCAGCTACCTGATCCTACGTGACCTCAACACACAAACGGCATGGCCACGCCATGCAACACTGCATCACCAGGCTGCACCAGACAGCAGCCGTGCGTCTCGAAATTTGACACGGAGTTCTTCATTGCCTGCTGCCGCGTGCAGGAGCGACCGCAAGGTTCCTGCGTGGAAAAGGGTATCGCTATCTCCGTCAGTCCATGGTCAGGCTGTCTTGAACAGGTCGTCTCTTAGTGATGACAAAAATGCAACTTGACATGCTGTAAGGCGCGATCAGCTGTTGGAGATTGAGCTCATCCGGCGATTTGCAGGCATCACGGACCAAGCACACCTGTGGTTCCTCCAGTCTGGAGTGGATTTCTCAGGTAGCGCTCTGGAAGCCAAGGGAAAGAAAGGCAGCTGTCGTTCTGCGAAGTGGGCATTTGCTGCGTGCACACCCCGTACAGGACATGATTTCAACTTTCTTGACTTCCTTGGCACGCATCCTCGGAGGAACTAGTCGTAACTTGCTGTGTGTTGAAGACTCGCGTGCATGAGCCAAAGGTCGCTGCTTCCTCCTTCCGGTGCTTGCCTTTGTTGGCCCGAACGCATGACCGTAGTGGCGTAAAGGCAGTTGAAATCTCCAGAGTACCTCACGAGGCAGACGCAGCCCAGCAGCCTGAGATCGGAATGGCCGGTGCCTGTGCCGTCTCGGCAGATCCGAGTCTTGCCTGTGTGCTCTGCTCAGTTGACTCGCCGCAGCCCATTCCTGCTCAAGACAGTCGGGCTGTCAGTTCAGTCCCGAGGGTCGCTTGCCCAGGGCTCAGGGAGTCGGAGGATATCAGAAGTGCGCACAGCCCGCAGCATCTGAGTTTTTCTGAGGCCTAGACCATGCAGCACGCTCCGAGCGTGCCGTGCCTTCTTCAAAGCAACCGGAATACGATTCCACCGAAGAAAAGGGCAGACAATGAGAGGAGGGTGACCGTGAATGTCGTGGCCGCGCCGGTGCTTTGCCTTCCCCAGTCGCCTCAGCTTTCTTGCGCCTCGCCGCTGTCAGCCTCCCCGATCCACTCCCTCCTGCCAACGCCAACAGGAAGCCCCTACTCGACACCACGAGGTCGGGGCCCTTACAGCCCCTGCACCTCCCCAATTCCCCTACGGCCAGGCCACGCCGGATTCATGAGTCGCAGCGCCGACCAACTTCCGGGTGTGACACCGCTGCCGTTCCCTTCTCTGCTGACTCGCCCCCAAAGCCCTTCAAAGCCTTCTTGTGAGGGTGCAGTGAAATCCGGGGAGGGGCAAGGCTTCGATGTCCAAGACTTTCCGCTCGGAATCATGGTCTTCGACCCCTCCAATCCTCGCCTGCGTGCGCAGCTCCTTGCAGCTTTGGGGGCGCCACCCCAGTCAACCTTCGAAGCAATGCGTGGATTTCACGGTGGCATGAACGAAGGTGTCTCGTTGAAACTAGAGAGTCGTCGAACTGCTGACTGTAGTTCGTACCGTGACTCTTGCGGTCTTTTTTGTCTGTTTTGCTGTCGCAATACACCGCAGATTCCTGGAACAGCTCAGGCATCTGGTTCGTGAAGGGGGGAGGCCAGCATTCCAACAGTTTATTCTAAACGCTTTGCACTGCGCTGCACTGCTTGCATTTGTGCACGACACTGTGAGGTCAAACGTTGGTGCTGAAACTCGTGAAGTTTGATCGGCTGCTTGTCCTGCTGTCCTCGCAGCTCCACGACTTGTACTGGTCAGTTTTTCGGTGTTTCACTTGCCCAGGTTCGCACCTCACCAGTTGGTAGAGGAACGAATGTTCACCAAGCTGTTCCAGGACAAAGCTGCAGATTTGCGCCGATAATCGTTGCTCGTCCTGTCGTTGTCCTTCCACGACATGCGGAGTATTGAAGATCTTCACATGCATGTCGGAAGGAGCTTCCAGGCATCACAGAAGATCCAAATGTGGCGTTCCCTTTCAAAGTGCTGCGCCTCTTGGGCCCCAACAACGTTCGAAAGCACGAGCCTGGCCTGCAGTACGTTTCGCTGTAGAGTTGGTTTAGGGTTTAGGATATAGAGTTTTAGGGTTTGGAGTTTTAGGGTCTAAACCCAGTTTCAAAGTTTAGAGTTTAGGGGTTAGGATGTTTGAATGGCTCTTGGTTGTCTACAGTAGAGACGTCGTCAGGACTTGATTGTGATGAAGAAGGCTCCAGGCAAGTCGTTGGACTATGTCATCTCGGAAAAATGGAGGACAGAAAGCACGAACCGTAGCCGGGAAATTCTCCCCAATAGGTTGAGCATTGTTCAGTCGGAAGCCTCTCAATATCTGCGTGCAAGTCGTTGTGAAAAGTGACGACTCGAGCAGGAAGGGCCGCAAAGCCGATCTCATGAAAGTCTTCGGCAAAGTTGGAGAGTGCTTAGCAAATTTTCACAGGCCTCCTCAGACGGACTCCAAAGATGAGTCTAGGCCGTTTCATCAAGAGACACGAGTGCCCTTCAGGCGATATGGTGGCCGACAGCACAACGACGCCGGCACTCAGAATATCCTTTGGGACGAGGACTCGAACTAGAACCCTGCTGGTTTCCTCGCTTCGTATGACTTCTTTACGGGAGTGCTGGAGGAGTCACAGCATGTGACCCTGATCGACCTCGGCTGCATGGGGAACAAGTCCAACAAGACCGATGTACAGCGATTGAGCCAGGCTGCTGTTGGATGTGACTTGTCGTGATCTTTCTGATGACTCTGACCGCTTCCAAGGTTGTTAAGAATCTGTCGAACTGCGCAGCTTATGGACCTGAACTTGTGGATGCCGCCTCAGCTCTCTAAGCATCTCAGACTCCAGCATCATACATCTAACAGAGCAGTCAGTGCGGTTGAGGCCACGATCTCTCATTTCCAAGAAGGCACAGCTGGCAGAGTCGGACTGTCGCACACGCGACCTGATCTGTCGGCAGGCTACAACCAGGCCATGCAAACGAAGCCGTCCAATGAAACCTGATGCGACGCTGCGACTGCTGTACCATCCACTGTCTTGAGCGGGAGTTATTTTTCGTGGCTTCCCACCCAATACCCAATCAACGTCGTCCATGAAAATGAGTAAGTATTGATTGACGGTATTTGCCGTACTTGTCATCCTGAAAGTGCTTTGAACTGACATTCATGCTCAGAGCCTTAGAAAGCAAGACAGGGCCAAGGCCCAGGCCCACTCTCCCAAGAGAGCAGGGGCCAAGCTTCAGGGCACAGCAATCGAACTCACACGTGGTTGTGTTGCTGACCCTCTTATCTCGATTGCTCCCAAAGGGTTGCAGCCTTTCAATGATGCCGAAGCTGCAGAGGCAGCGGAAGCATCAGTTGGGGTGCTTTTCCCAGGTTTGTGGTGCAAATAACTCTTCTGAAGCCTGCTCCAAAACACCCCATGAATTGCTTCGTTTGTTGAGTGCTCGGCTTGCAGCCGGGATGCTGGAGCGCTCTGGCAGAGGCAGATGCTCAAGCTGAGCACCACAATCGGAGCAATGTACTTCGTCGGCGCTGCCAAAGTTTTGAACGAATGGTTCGTGCCGGAGCGAAGTTTTTCCTGCAGGCTTCTGGCCGCGAGACATGGCAGGGTCAAATGAAGAAGTTTGTAGCAGCTCAGTCTTCACACAATTCGCTGATGCCACATAAACAATTTTGCCCTACCACTGGAAGCGACAGCCCATCTCTCGGAAAAGCGAGTGAAGCAGCACCTGGCACAGCTAATCCAATATGGATGATGTGAAAGCTGCTTTAGACACCTTAGCCTAGAGCCCACAGTATAGACGGGAGTCGGACTAGACCATCCTCACTCGCTGGTGCTGGTAAGAGGTTAGAGAAGGCTTACAGCTTAAGCGGTGAGGGTTTGGGGGTTTTTAATTTTTTGAACTATAGTTTTAATTAAGGAACCACCAAAATAGTAATCTCGCTTCCCAGTGTCACTATAATTATTGTTGTTATTATTATTGTTATTATTATTGTTATTGTTATGACTATGATTATTATTATTACTAATTTTATGATCGGTTTCCGAGGTGCAGGAGTTGCACAGCTGGGGGCTGAAGAGATTTGGCGCCTCGGGCTCCAGACGTCTCAGGGTTGTCCTGGGAGCTTGGGTCACAGTAGAGTCGAAGGGAGAATTAGGGTTTAGGGTGTAGGGAAGAAGATCGAGAGTTTTTGCCAAAAGTTATCAGGTTTCATCGGGCTTCCCGACATGGGGCTTGAGGGCTTGAAGTGCAACAGAGACCGAAATGCCAAGGCCCCGCAGCCCGCAGGGCTTTGCAGCAAAGACTGCACCAGTGCCAAAGCCTTACTTGCTTGAAGGGCTCATTGATGAAGAGTGTTGGCAGTGGTGCGACATGTAGTCTTTGCAACATCACGGCAGCGCGGTGCATCGGGCCTGGCGTCCTGATACCTCTCGTTGGCATAGATGGCTGTCATGCTGAGCAGCATGCTAAACTGACCCCGCCTCATGACTGGCCAGGCCTTGGAGGGAGTGGGATGGTTCTACAGGCCCAAGCAGGTGTGATCAAGGAAACAGCCATCTGAAGGCGTTTGATCTTCGTGGTAATTGAACTGGCAGACCCCCTTCAACTCGCCTCATGTTCACGAGATTGGCCAATCCTAATCTGCCAAGAGGTTGTGAACACCAAATGTGTGGCTGCCGGGGTCATGCGCTCTGCAGCACAGTCACCACGCAACTTGCAGTCGTCATGGGAGCTCACGTGCCAGGAGGGTTGCTCACCCATCACAAGAAGGAACGGCCAAGTTCTGCTTCGAAAGCTTCTCCCTTGAAAGAGAGAAAGAATACAGATTTGAGAGCGCATGTCGGAATCGCACGAGCAAAGGCGGCGCTGCTGTCATCTGAATCAGGAGGGTGATGGTGGATTCTATCAAAAACTTGTGTGAGACAACGTGGTCGGGGGATTGCCCGAATCAGAAGCTTTGGCTCTTTGTTCGGGCTGTTGAGCCTGTTGTTGATGAGCCAGTCTTCGTCTTCCACTTCGAAAGAACCCTTGGGACTTCGGTCTGAGCCCACAAGCTCAGGGTAAAGGCCAAGCAGTATAGCCGCTGGTGATGGTGGCTAGTGACATGTTGCCGATTTGACGTTCGACGGCCACCAAACCTGTTGCAACACAAGATCTGCGTGCAACAGCCCGACTGCTGGCGGTTTGGCAACGACTTTTTGTGATGTACTCTTACTCAGAGGCAAGCGTCTACTTTGTTGTAGTTTGTTGATGCGGCGCTTGGTCATGTCCAATGGGGTATCACATTGATTTGCCCCGCACTTGTGGAAACACAAGTGCTTTTCTTCAGTCACGTGTTTTGCTGCGACTTCCGCCGTCCTGCTAATACCGATGCCATGTCCGCAGAGGTTTTCATGAAGCTCGTTTTCGATGGGACTCTGTGTCAGAGACTTAGAGTTAGAAGTGACAAAGTGAGCATGCATGCGGCCATGTATCATGTTCTATTTCATTGCTCAATAGCCAGAAGACAGTACTCCCATGGCAGCCAATGCTGGTCACTGTGTAGAAAATTCAGAGCCCAGACAATGCTAGCAACAATTGTTATGAGAGTGCTCATGGTTTGATTTGCAAAGACAGTAGGCAACTCGATCCTCTTCGAGCAAGCCGAGGTTTGATTGCTCCATCGACCAGGGTCCGGTGCACTTGGAGCCCGGCGTCCCGGGAAGTTCGCATGGGTAGTTCTTCTAACTCGGGCCCCTAGAAAAGCATCCAAGTAGAGAGCAGGGTAACAGGTCTCGGGATACGACAATGGACCGCAATTTAGAAAACCACCCCACACGAGGACTGAGCATTTCCGGCCCTGCCTCAGCCGCCTCAGGCTTTGCAGTCATGGAGAAGCATCTTGCTTATCAGAAAAGTAAGGGAAAGGAATCGGAAAAGAGCAAGACATCCAATGATCCAGCTACCTTTATGGAACAGCCAGAGTCAATGCAATAAAGTTGTCCAGCGTGAGCCGCGTGCCAACTAATGGCCGCAGACGCTGCAGAAGGCCTGGTATACCTCGCTGATTGAGGTTGTTGGGTGCGGAATCAGTTTTTGACTGCAAAAGTGGCCCTGAACACTTCTGGCATCAAGCCAGCATGGAGGTGCAGAGCACCCTCTCGAGCGTGCCCACTTCTGGTCAGTGGCGAGCATCAGTTGGCTGACACCTCTGGCGCGGAAAGCAGTAAAGGGCAAACTAGAGGTCCATGATGTTTGGGAAGCACCTGCAGGCCTGACTCCGGGGAGCGCATCTCATACCCTCGCAATGTACCCTGGCATTTTGCAGGACAAACGGTGGACACAGCCGTGCATCGCTTCAAGCTTGCTTGGGAGGTGGAGCAGCCACGTGGCTTCGCAGTTGCTGAAAAGCTCCCATGTATCAGTAGCCGTTACAGGAGCCCTCATAGTACCGCTTCTGTGGCATTGCTTCAGTTTTGCTACCAGATCAGGCAGAGGAAAACGCCATCGGTCGCCAGGGCCATGATTCGCGCGAATGCAGGTCGCGTGGCGGCTTCTGGATCCTTGCTGCTCCTGTTCATCAGCACCTCGGTGAACCATAGTCAATGGTCATCGTCACAGGTGCATATCCCAGGCATGAACGAGCAAGACAGACCAGGGGCATCAGCAGCTCTGAGGCGTGCAGTTGGCCCAGCCACTCCTCATCCAAAGCTTGGTGAGTTTTCTCAACACGCCCGCGGCCGCTCCAGGCCCCTGAAGTCTCACGATGAGGTTCGAGGGCAGGGCACGGCAGTTCCAAAGTTCGAAGATGCCTTAAAGGTGAAGGCTGGCTGATGGCTTCCCTGATCTTTATGTCGGCCCTGGCATCCTCGGTCCTCGTCTCCGAATTCTTCCGGCACGGCTTCGTCTTGGGAGTACTGTCGAGGCGTGTTCTGGGCAGAGTTAGGCCCTGCAATGCTGCAAAGAATACAGCGAACTGGAGCTAGGGGCTAAAGGGATATGTGCACTGTTGAGGACTGCTGCCATGAGTGCCATCTACGAGAAGGCCATCAACATGTCTGTGCTGGCACGATCTGGCGGCTCTACGGGCAAAACCACGAACTTGATGGCCGTTGACGCTGAGCGGCTTTGCGGCAAGAAGTTGATGAAGCAAACATGGATACCACTTGCCAATACTTGCCATGCTGCAAAGAGTCTGCACGAATCGTTTTCAACAAGTCACTTGTTCAGGAAATTCGCTATGGCCTCCCAAGTCTTTCATTTTCTTTGGATCAGCCCGGTGATGATGATATGCTGTGGCATTGTCATGGCCTTCCGCATCGGCCCCGCAGGATTTATCGGTTTGGCGTTCTTATTCGTCACAGTTCCGGTTCAACACCTCCTCGCGAAGAAAGGAGGCCAGATTCGTGTCAAAGCCCTGGCCTTCACTGATGAGCGAATGAAGTTCGTCACTGAAGTGGTGCAGGGTATCCGAGTGGCCAAACTCTATGCATGGGAAGCTGCCATCTTCCAATACGTTGCTTCTGTTAGACGGCGAGAGTGTGCAAAGCTTTGCGCCTCCCTTTTGATGAAGATTGCGGTGCGCGAGGGCCTCCTCTTAGTAGCACCGGCCGACCGCTCAGTTAATGGATGTTTTTTTTGTTTTTTCCGAAGCGCCCGTGGTGACTTTTACAGAATGAGGCCGTTGCTTTGGGGCTGATACTGGCCGGGAAGATGTGGCAGGATGGGGAGCTGGAGCTGTCGGAGGCCATCATGATCCTTGGACTACTGAACACCCTCAGGTTTCCGATGAACTTGCTCGCGCTGTCATTTGCGACAACTCAAGACTGTCTCGTAGCAGCAAAGCGAATCTCCGCGTTTCTCCTGCTTGAAGAGAGTCGTCGGCGTGCTGAAGCTCCCAGAAACGACCCGGAGTATTCAGCTGATGCAGCTCATGCCGCTTTTGCCGAGGGGGTTGTGTGTTGCTGGGATCCCACCCTGGCCTTTCGCTTGCGGATCACTTCTTGTCGGCTGGTTCGCGGCAGCCGAGTCGCCATCCTGGGCCCAGTTGGCTCTGGCAAGACCTCCTTCCTGTCGATGCTGCTAGATGAGATGCATCTTCTCCAAGGCAGCAGCTTTCTGGATGGCCGGGTGGCGTACCTGGCACAGGTGCCCTGGAGTCGTGTTACATGCAGGTAGAGATGTTTGGACATGTTTGCGCACCCAAACTTGCCTGGGAGATTCCAAATCATTCTACCGGTTGAGCCACATACACTAAAGACGGGTATGGGTGTTGATGACACAAGCGCACATCGCAGGAACGCATGGCAAGACTGCGACACTGCATGCCGACATGATGACATGATATTACTGAAGATTGCATAGGCGTGTGCTTGTGGATGGCAGGTGCCCTGGATCCAGAATGCCAGTTTGCGAGCAAACATCCTTTTCGGCCTGCCCATGGATGAGGACAGGTAGTGATTGGCGTGAAGAGACAGGTCTGTTTTGTCCAAGGTCCGACAGCTTGCTTCATGCCATGCCCTCATAAACACAAGTACTCGCAAGGCTTGCCAAGAAGCAGCGGCTTTCGGCCATCGCTAGGATCGCTAGGACGTGTCGGAGAAGACATGGCATGGCGTCAGTCAAGCCGTGTCTGTGTCGTGACAGGACATTTACGATCAGACTCTGGAAGCTGCGGCGCTGCAGACTGACTTAGAAGCCTTATTGGATGGAGACCTGACAGACATCGGAGAGCGGGGGATCAACCTCTCTGGGGGGCAGAAAGCTCGGGTGGGCTTGGCACGCTGCCTGTATGCAGCTGCAACAAGAAATGCTGATGTTGTCATCTTGGACTCCCCCTTTGCCGCCTTGGACACGCTGACGGCGCAAACTGTTGTTGAGGGCCTGATCCGCATGACCAGTGGTTGCACATTGGTGTGTGCCGTGTCCGCCCACACTCATCTCTTGCGGAACTTTGAAAGGATTCTCATCATGAGTGATGGGGCGATCCTTGCAGATGGATCTCCGGAAGAGCTGCGCCAGCAAGTCGGAAATCTTCCCCACGCGGGCACTGAGCCGACACAGACCAAGCCAATCGAATCTATGAAGTCGCCGAGCAAGGCCCCAAGAGATGCATCTCGGCGTTTGATGCGAGCAGACACCGTGGCCCAGACCTTCCCACTCACTGCTCTGGGCAAGTGGCTTGGAGGGCCTGGTGGGTGTTCGCAACGGGGTTTACTCATTGGTGTACCCATTTGCCTTATCTTCTTGGCAGGACAAGGTTGTCGCGTCATCACCGATGTGAGCCTCACTGAATGGGCCGCTGGCCAGTCGGAGTTCTCCACTTCTTTAGTCTTGCTTGCTGTGCTGGTGGTGCTGTCGGTGCTGCGCATAACCTTTTGTGCGCTGGCCAGCTTTCGCGCCGCAAGGCTTCTGCACAATGACATGTTTTGGCGTCTCCTGAGGGCACCTGTCACGACCTACTTTGACGTCGTCACGACCGGAGAAATCTGTAATAAATTGTCCAAAGATCTGGAGTTCACAGACACTCAACTGCCGGAGCTTTTAACTCAGTTCTTGTCAAACACCTCGCTGCTCTTTATCATCTTCGGGCTGACCATCTTTGCTGTGCCGTGGTTCGCTGCCATTCTGTGCTTGCTGTCAACTGTCTTCGTCATGGTTGCCGTTCAGTCGGGATATCTCTTGCGTGCTCTGCAGCGATTCGAAAGTGCCTCGAAATCTCCGATCTACACCTCCTTCTCGGAGACATTGTCGGGCTTGCAGACAATCTGTGCTTGGGGACATCAGGAGCGTTTTCACGAAGCGCACACGAAGATTATGCGGCAGAACCTGCGCTTCTTTCACGCAGCCAGCATGTCTGACATTTGGCTCCAGTTTCGCTTGGAACTCTTGACCGTGTTTATCATCGGCAGCTTCACATTCCTGGCTGTCGGCCTCCGAAGCTCCATAGATGGCAACACCGTGGGTTTGGCGCTTGTCTATGCGATACAGATGACGGCGATGTTCCAGAGATGCACGAAGCTGGCAATCCTTATCGGGCAGATGCTGACCGCTTGCGAGCGTGTTCTGAGTTTCGAGAAAGCTCCACAAGAGCCTGATCTTGTTCAGCCACAGGACATCAAGCTGCACGAGTGGCCACAAGGATCCATCGCATTCAATGATGCTACTTCAGAGAAAGTCGTAATCAAGAGTTGCCCATAAAGCATAATCAAGCATATTAAGCCTCAGACTGTGCAAGTTGCAAGGTTTCTGTGCAGTACCGGGATGGTGACCTGGTCTTGAAGGATGTTTGCTTTTCCGCCAATGCGGGTACTCGCGCACCTTGTGAGCAATCGCTCGGCAAACAGAGCTGCAGCACAGAAGAACCTCAGAAGTGATTGCCTCCCAAATCAGGTAGGGATTTGTGGACGAAGCGGCGCCGGTAAATCGAGCATTGTCATGGCTCTATTTCGCATGGTTGCAACTTGCCGTTCACTCATATGCTTTGCGGGCACTTAGAGCGCAAGCCTCATCCAGGCTGGCACAAGCTGTGATGTACACAGCTGACCATATCAAGGACCCGTGTGGAGGCAGAATCATGATCGATGGCATTGACATCGCGACGGTCGGCGTGCACACCCTGCGGCAGAATCTAGCCATCATCCCGCAGGACTGGCAGTTGCATCCTCAGCTGGCTTCTCACAAAGCTGCATCGCGACGCTTCGTCCAGCTGCGTCTTTGCTGTGTAGGAATCGCGAAGCTTCCAAGTGTAGAAGCGCAGCATGACGGCCAGGAGCCCATCGTCTTCAGTGGCTCTTTACGCTCCAACTTGGACCCATTTCGCCGGGTTTTGGACGACACCGTGCTCACAGGCGCGCTGGAGCAGGTGGGTCTACAGGGCGCCTGGGATGCAGCGAGCAGTCTGTGCACTCGGCGCTTGACTTCGAGCCGGACAGCCTTCAAAGGTCTTGTGAAGGAGGCGGGCTTGGAGATGGCGATTGCCGAACAGGGCGGGAATCTCTCGCAGGTGGGCATTCCTCATTCTTGTTACCCTCCCAGATTCTCCTATTGCTTTGGTTGCAAGGGTCAGCGACAGCTGCTGTGCATTGCCCGGGCACCTTGGCGCTTGATGAGCAGACAGTGCTGCATTTGTTCCGTGGTTTGTGGTGGTGCATGCATGCCCAGGCTTTTGTCAGGAAGAACCGGATCATGGTGCTGGATGAAGCCACATCTTCTGTGGAGCCTTGTCTCACATCAGGGAATCTGAGAAGACGGCGCGCTGCACAGGCCGAGGCCCTGCGTTCTTCGCTTCTCTTGCTTGCAGGATGAGCAGACAGACGCTCTCATCAAGAACGTGCTCCAAGCGCACTGGTCCCAAGGCCAGACAGTGATCGGTGCAAGGCACAGCAAGGTACGGATTGCGCTTTCACATCCTGTCGGCAAGGTCATCAACAGTGTACTGTCCTCACTGTCGCCCACCGCTTGAGCACTATACTGGATTATGACAGGAGCTCTCCATGTCTTTGGCTGCAGAGCTTGCCTATGCTTGCCTTCCTGATCCTGCGGAGGATTCTGGTGCTGAACAAGGGGGAGGTTGTCGAGTTTGATGCTCCAGCCGAGCTGCTCTCGCGCCCGGGAGGTCACTTTGCATTGATGGCGCCTTTTGGCTGCAAATCTTGGTATTTGCTCATTGCTGGTGCCTTGGGCTGTGACCCAGGAAGGAGAGCATGCCTGAGAAGTTCACCAAAGCTTCACTCTAGCAGCGTTAACGAGTGGAACAGCCGGTGCCTCTTGCCGACGTATGGCTAAAGAGCCTCCGGCTTGAGAGTCCCATTCACCGATTTTCCTACCATCGCTTACTAAAGTGCCCATGGGAAGCCTGAAGTGAAGCCACCTGCGAAAACGAGGAAGACCCTCCAGCAGGCGGCTTCCACTTGGGCTAAGTAGATGCGCATGCCTCACCCGTTTTGCTGACCCTGAGAACGAAAAGTTCATGCGCTGGGTTCTTGTGGAGGGCAGCCGTCAACTTTGCGGAGGCTCGGAGCTGGTGGTGGCGAATGGGTACCGCTCTGAGCCTCGCCTCCCTGAACCATGGAAGTCGTGGGTCCTGGCCGCGTTGGAGGTTGCTGCGCAGGCCGCCCAAGACAGCCAGATCAAATGGGTGCGCCTGGCACAGACCACGAAGCCTCTTCAGTCCAGCCCCCACTGGCTTGCTGGTGAGTATTCCTTGCCAGATCGCTCTCGAGATCATGCGCGACCGAGCTAAAGCCTCGGACGCAGGGTGTACCTGCGAATCTTGGAAGAAAGCCGTGGTTGAGGCGCACAGTATACTGCAGAAGGCCGTGTTCCAGGCGCGGCACAGTCGTGCATGGAGCCCCCAGTTCTGTTCGGAGGAATTGAAGTATTCAGCGGTCCGCACAGGGCCTTCGCAACATTTCCATCGTTTGCGGGGAAGCTGCTCAGACTTTGGAGCACGGCACCCGGCTGCGACTTATGCAGACTGATTCGTGGTTAGTTTGGCATTTGCTGCTTGAAAGATTTGAAAGCATGGTCCGAAGACTTGCTGATAATTAGATCAGGTCGCTATTTCCAAGCAGCTCTATCTCCCACATTTTTATCAATTTTCCCGAGCCGCGGCGAGCTAAGCTGGTCTAGTGTTGGCCATGCAACGGGAAAGCTCATGAACTCCAAAGCAGAAGCGCAACCAAGGCCTTTCGTGTCTGGCGACGAGGCGGCAGAGTGCGGCCTCCTAGCTTTGAGCACCGCAACAGAAACCCTCAGTCACCTCACGCCGGGTCGGCATCAGAGGTCTAGCTTTCACATGATGACCGAGCACCTTTTCGTAGAGTGCGGGCCGTAGCTCCCGACTGCAGTTCCTCCGGCCATCTCCCCCACCGAGAGTCAGGATGGATCGTGTCCTACGGAATGGATGCCGCATCACCATCCTCTCGGACAATGCAAGGAAGGGCTCGTGCCGGGTTGCATGCAAGCACCGGATCCGTGAAAGAAGAGGTACATGCGGACAGTTGCCAAAACCGTGCTGGACCGAGCTTGCCATCAGTTCTGTCTCGCGACAAAGATCCTTTCACTGAGGTGGCCAGTTGCAGCCTTAGAGGGCCTTACAGTTACGCGCTGTTCGCCGATCGTAGAGCCGAAGCTCACAGCAGAAGCCCCGCTTGCTCCATTCGTAGAGGCCTTGCCTCGGCGCAGAGGGTCCGCTTGGCCTCCGCACGGGCCCTTTTGCATCTGCTGGGTCCCCGCAGAAAATTTCCAGAGTTCCCGGCCGGAGCTTTGTTTGATGCAATTTCTGGCGCAGAGAGGTAGGGCTTTTGCCGAAGACACGACCGCTGAACCCTCCTGGCCTGGAACGGCTTGTGTTAACATTGTGTTAGCATGACTCCGCCGGCCTCACACTCATGACAAGCCTGCCAAAGCCCAGCACTAAATAACTTCGCAGCCGAGCCCAAGTGTGGTATCTGGTTCCCAGGCCGGTGCAAAGCAGCTGTGGGGCCGTGGCGAGTGTCCGGAACATGAGACCGTTCATGGCGTGCGACTCTCAGTCCTGGGATCCACAGCAGCGGCAATGTAATCTAGACACCCTCGAAATTATCTTCCCCTGCCTTGAGGAGCGAGTGTAGGCTTGTGGAACAAAGGGGTTGGGTTTGGGGCTTTAGGGCTTCTTCGGGCCGTTGAGGTGGAGCTCTACCAGGGCTGGCCGGAGGCTTCCTGTGGCCATGCCGTCCGACTCTCAGCTCTTCCTTTTGTTTTGACGAACTCCGGGAGTCCCTTGCAGAGGTGAAGGCAAGCTCCTACTTCGACACCCTTTGGGCCATGGGAAAACGTGTAGATCGCTTCTACATGGTCCTGTAAGGGCCTCGTTGCTTCGCTCGGAAGCAGGTGGCCTTAACATGTTGCCTGGTCAAAGGCAAAAGGAGGAGCAAGCTGGAGGCGAGATCAGACCGGGGGGGACATGCGCGGACCCATGAAGGCTCTTGCGTGGGGACCGGGGGCGAGCCTCTACCATGCTCAGGAGATCTTCAGAGCGGCAAGAAGCGCAGCTCCACAAGAGACAGGAAATCGACCAAAGTGCCAAAGTTCCGTGGTTTGGGATGTGGGATGTGCTCGCTTTCTCCATTGATGCTGTCAGCTGCGTGGCTGCAGCTGCTTCTACCAATCTGGCGCGTAATCTGCTGCAACGGCTTTCTCTAGTTTTTGGCTGAGGGTTAGACACTCGGCTTTCTCTGCAGGTTCTTTCACGACCTGAAGTTTGCAGCACATGCAGCTTTTGCAGCCACACCTCACAGCCCATCCACGAGCATTGCGCGCAGTAGAGTCACCAAAGCCTTTTGCCCCTTCCGCGCGGCATTCGCCGATCTTCGCCAGACTCCCGGGTACCGACCTGCGCCGACGCTTTCCCTTACGAAGTGCAAAGCTTCAGGTCATGTCGGCTGCAGCTGCGGAAGAGCTCCAAACTAAGAGACCACGTAGTGCCCACGCAGCCACGTAGCACTTTCCCGCCACGAATTTTGGAAGGAATCCTCGGTCTGCAAGTCTCGATGGTGTTTGATGTGTGCGAGCCCTTCAGGTTGGTCAAGAAGGCTGAGCAGAAGATGAAGGGTGGTGCTAAACCAAGTTCACTCGGTGAGATCAAGGTGACAACTTGGGAGCTGCCATGCGAAGTGCCTGGGAAGTGTGAGGCGGTGGTCTTTGGGGCTATCTCTCCGGCGGACCCAAGTACGATGAGGCGAGCTGCAAGCGCAGGACATGTCAAGGCAGTGGATGCCATCACAGGCCATTGAAATCTACCAGCAAGCAGCGAACCAGTACAAGATGGCCAAGATGTGGCAGGAGGACTTTTGACCAAGGGCTGGAGCCGTCTGACATGGCAGTTGAAAGGCTGGGAACTGCTTCGTGCAGTGTGCCTTTTGCGCGGAAAAGTCGGGCTCGCAGTCCGACCAGGCCAGCTTCGAAGATGGGGCGCATTAGATCCTGTCAGTGAGGGGAAGGGAGCTGCACACCCTGACCATGTTTAAGGCTGCTGCTTTCCGTACTTGCAGGCCAACTACCTCTCCGAAGCTGGCAACGTCTGGAGCTTGTCTGCTGCTCGGCTTCCACCCTGGCCCAACTCTCAGCTCTCCGACAGGTGTTGAAAAAGGTCTCCACGCAGCTTGCGGTCGAACAGCTGGAACAGGACTGCAACCCTGCGTCTCACGTCGTGATGCCCCCTTCGCTCTCCTGCAATCCGGTGCCCCCTGAATTGCCTCAGGCCGTAAGCATCTACAGCGCAGGTGGCCGATTCCAGCAGGTGGCTTTGCGGTTCACGTCTCGTCAGCAGGTGTCAGATAAATCTGATGTCCAGGCACACTCAGACCGCGAAAAAAAGAGATGCAATGCTTGATTGCAGGCTGGCAAGCTCCTCCTCTCTGTTGCAGAACTGTATGAGGCCACTTGCCCGCGGACACGACGTCGGCTTCTGTATTCAAACGATGTGACTGCGCTTTTTGGGCAGAAGGCGGAGCGCCTGCAGCACAAGGAGTGCAAGGCAGCGGGAAGAGCCAAGCCTTCGGACCGATGCAGTCTTCGACACTTTGTGCACGATCATGAGGTCTTCTACAAGCGGGCGGCTGAGATGTTTGAGCTCGCGGACCACTCCGAGTCAAACTTTTCAAAGTCTGGGCCTTAAGTTGTTCTGGCCTCTCCATCGGTCTTATTGGTGAGCTTTGAGAGCGGTGCAGGTGCAACCTCAAGTATGCGGAGTTCGCCGCTAAGGTCCCTGTTGCACACATTTAGACTTCAGTCCTTTGCTCCTTCTTGATGCAGGACGGCGAACTGGAGGAAGCCATTCGGATATTTGAATCCGAGGGCCATGTCCCAAGCGCCATCATGAATTTTGCATCACACGGCTGCATGCAATGTCAAGTCAACTTTGACATTTTTTGCACAAAGGTGAGAAGGCCCTTGGCAAGACCTTGCTTCAATTTGGAGCCAAGGACATGAGGGGGCTGCTGGCATTGGGGGAGTGTTCTCATGGTCACATGGAGCCAGCAGGAGCATTTCCTGAACGCCGGAATCCTGCACTTGGTAGGCCCGGTGGCTTCACCACCCCTGGAAGCAACGAGAAACGACCGCAGCAAACACAGCATGCAAAGCTGCTGTTGATCACTGTCATCATGGTCACCATCACGCTCGTCATCCTCATCATCATGACTATGGCCTCCGTTGCCACCATGATCGCCACGACCATGGTGATACTCTGCTGGTGTTAAGTGTGTGAGAGGCTGAACTTGCGACTCAACCAGTCGCCTCGACTGCAGCAACATTGACTTGGACACACTATCCGCAGATGAAGTGAAGAGCCTTTTGAGTGAGGGAGTCTACCTAAAGTCACCACTATGGCAACGGCTTTAATGGCAGTGGCAGCAGCAGCAGCAACAACAACAACAACAGCAACAGCAACAGCAACCACAACCACGACGACAAGAACATCAGCAACGGCATCATCAACAACAACAACAACAACAGCAGCAGCAGCCGCGGCAGCGGCAGCAACAACAACACCACCACCAACAACAACAACAACAGCAACAACACCAACACCACCAACAACAACAACAACAACAACAACAACAACAACAACAACAACAACAACAACAATAACAACAACAACACCAACAACAACACCAACAACAACACCAAC